GGAAAGCCCGTGGCTGGCGATGCTGGTCGAGGACGAATCGAGTAGAGGATGGGGGAAGGAGTGAGAGACCAATGAAGCGAGACAACTTCAATTTGAGTTGATTCGAGAAATGAGGTGAGGTCGAGGTGTCGAAAGAGGAGCTATTGCCAGGGGTCGAGGGAGTAGACAACACGCGGAGAAGAGAACCGGATCCACAGATCTCCTACACAAACAGGAACACCACCACAGAGACTTTTTGTCGGAGGATAAGAAGAGAGAAGAAAAGGAGGGAAAGGGAAGAGACGAGACACAAGAGACGGTGTTCAGAAAACTCCACCGGGTGTTTTTTGTTGACTCGGACGGTTCCTTTTTGGAAAGCGAAGAAAGAAACGCTCGAGCCAGTTGGCGCGCCAGAAACGGGAAAGGACTGGCAGAGAGAAAGTTCGGCCACGAGCCGCTAGGCTGCCAATCGGCCGGTCCTAATAATAAGGCCGCGGAATGAGGAACCAGGGGCAGCGGGGAGGACTGAGAACTACTGTCTGTAGTGTGTGTAGTGTGTGTAGTTGGAGACGGTCGAGGGGGTGTTGATCTAAAGAGGAATGGAAACGATCCAATGGTTCAATAATAATAATAACAATAGTGGGAAGTAAACAGGGCAAAGGAGTGACCAGAGTTAGGCTGGAGTCGGCGGGGAGGAGAAACTAATTAAAGGAGGGAGGAGCAAAGGAATGAACGACGCCAGAGAGCATCCATAAAGCTAGGCATACAGGGGAAAGCCAGAGGGAAGAGAAGAGTTGAGCGAGGAAAAGCGAGCGAGCGAGAGACAGAGAGAGAGAGGCGCAGCACCAGTGACGGCCCATGGTTGCGGGAGGACCCTATGAGAGACACGCCCCTGGGCAGAGTGGAGCCAGTGGGGGGCGTCAGCCTCCGCCACAGTCTTGAAGAATTAGTTACATACGGAGTATATTACCTACAGTACCGGTATATAACTATCCTAAAACCCACTGCCAGGAATGTATACTTATATGAATTATTTATCTGGTCTCTATTCTCTGAAACGCGATGTACTACCTAGCTGTTTACGAACCTACAAGCACTCAAGTAGAAGGAGGCATTCCCTGTGGCGTTCCCCCTAATTGGCGGTTACCCACCGTGGAGAAGAAAGGCACTAACCTTCTTTGGGGTTCAGGAGACAATGTGGATGGGGGAAATTTCTCATCCCAAGATTACGCACTCCCTCCGCCATCCTCTGCTGTCCACTGGCTCAGGCTGGTGGGTTACCGTGGATAAGCTTCATTCTCTTCGTCGCCTCGGCCGGAGAACACCTGCAATCTATCTATCTGCCTAACCGCCAGCGTCGTCACCCGTACAGAACATGATCGATCCATGAATAGTACTTATTACCGAGTGCAATTAATATGGAGCGATTGGGCCCGCTCGTACTCGCATTCGCACCCTGACTTATCTCTCCGACAGGCATCCAGATAAACTGTTGGATCTATTAATAAATCTCACCAGAAGACGTAGACGAGTGCATCTGTCTGAATACTGTCCGATGTATTGGGGTGACACTGCAGAACACAAGGAATCCTCGTCGAAGAAAAGAATGCCATTCATAGCATTATAGGGTTTCTGCCTCAGGCACCTCAAGACATCACATGAAAATTTCCTCGATGAATACCCTGGGTACGAACCCCAACAACCAACCTCCATACAGCCCACAATACGAGCATCGTGGATTTTTCTCCCGTCACAAAACCCACGACCACTGACCACCACTGATCGTCCCAAAGATCTTCGCTGGATGGAACCCGTCCACCACTGGCTCCATCGCCACTGACGGCGAAACGCCGTATATCGTCGACTGCATGGAGAACTTACGGAATACTCTGGAGTACACCCCACTGCGCATGACTGGCCGAATCCCTGGTTATGTCCTGTTCTTGGTTTCTTCCCAAGTTGGGAATCTGTAACAACACTGCCACCTGTCAGATTGCTCCCCCACCGCTCTCTCCACCACGGCACCCACCACCGCACGTCCGATCGCCAGATACCCCAATCACCACGCCTGTTGCCATACTGGTGGTCTGTCAGACGCGTGGAAACTCCAGCGCCTCCTTGGGGATGAGAACGTGTTTCAGCTTTCTCCGGCAAGTCCTCCCAGAACGAATTAAGCCCTTACGTCAGGTTCATCCGTGTTATGTCTGTGTGCTGCTGCGATCGTCCACCGGGGTCGGACACCTGCTCCACCTTGCTTCGTCGTCGCTTTGACCGGTCCATCTTCTCCGCACATACTATACAATAGATACTCCGTCGAGGCTGGGCGGCGGTAAAGGTCTCTCGGCGCTCTCAACTACTTACGTAGACCGGAAATAATAAGATAACTATAGAAATTGCACACAAGAGCACCCCGCATGGATGACTTGTTCTTGCTGAGCCTTACGTATACCCCGGACGGCCTGAAACTCTGTAGGTAGTTATCTGATAGGAAACGGCCTGCAGATAAGCTTATCCTTGATGGAACAGGAGTGTCTTACTTCTCTAGTAGACGTCTCGCTACGCAGAAGTGACATACCGTACTTCTAGCTCATCCGATAATGACGGGCTAATACATCCAATCTACCAGGACACATTGACAACCCCCACGCCTTTCTGCCACTCAACAATCTATCATTATCTCCCTTATGACATCATCAGGGTGTTCAGTCCTCTTGCCATCCTGGCGGTGCAGGGACATGCTGGAGGGTCATGTCGTTGACTATTTGCAGTGTTCGGTCATCGTTTACGATCAACGTGGTTGGTCTACGGAGACTGCATTGGTCGAGACGTACATAGTGACCAAGACAGGACATTGCATGTAGTCGACGATAGAATTCATCCAGATGAATCTATACTATCTACCGCCTAGGCCAAACATATTGTCATCCCTGAACAGGCTATTGGGCATATGCCCATATCATTACCTAGGTAGCCACCACACTCAATACTGGCACTTGCCGACCGTCCCAAGCGGACCGACAGTCTCCCACACCATAAGGACAATGTCCCTTGCTTCAAGCTTCCCCAGACGCGATGCCAACTCATCAGCATTACGTTGGCAGCATCCAGCGAACAGTCTTCGCTGTCGCATCACGGACCCAATCCATAAGATCATTCCTCAAAAGCCGCAGGGTCCGCCGGCGTAGGCCTCGCACGGCAATGCATTTCAGCAGACATCACAGCATGTCGTTTGAGAGTGGCGCCTCTTCTTCAACCACACGCAGCCAGGCGCATGTTGGAAAAAGTAGAAAGTAGTGCTAAAACAATCCAACCAACTGCAATTCACCGGACCTCGGGCGCCGCAGCCGCCGCAAAATCGCGATTCACGTTCGCTGCATCCGCAGTCGCCTGTCTGGGCGCGTCTGTGCCTCGTTCGAACAGACGTATCCACCACGCGGGCGGGTCGAACGGGCGATGACCACCGTGGAGCGATGGGTACATGTCGTTAAAGAAGTACCACACATGGCCGACGACGACACCGCAGATCTCGTCCTTGGGCACGATGCCGTGCACAACGAGGCTAAAGGCCATCAGCACCCAGGGAAGATAGGGCGCGGTGAACACCAGCAGGCCGAGGAAGCTCAGGCGGGTCTCGGGGTTGCGGCGACTCCAGATGTAGACGAGACTGGAGGAGAGGGCGGTGCCAAGGAAGGGCAAGGAGAGGAAGGGCGACAGGCAGAGGAGCGATGTCATGGCGTAGAACAGCAGCCAGGAGAAGTGAGCCGGGGACCGGCCGGAGGATTCCTCAAGGAGGCGCGAGTACCGTTGCAGAAAGAAGACATGGAAGAGGAGGTCGAGATTCAGCGGACCGAAGTATAGAAAGGTGGTCAACAGACGCCAGTACTGTTGCCCGAGTCAGTTCCATTCAAGATTAAACTTCAGAGCTTATGGCGTCGTACCTGGGACTTGAGGAACACCAAACGGAAGCTGTAGAACAGCTGGAACGCCGAGATGATCTCGCAATGGACCAGAACGGAGGTGGCAACCGTTGCTACTGTCCACCAGCGCGTTACTGGGGGCATCTCATAGAACCATTGTTCGAGAGGGAACTGGCCTCCCTGACCTCCATTACCCCAGATGGCGGCCATTACGTCGCAGATGGGGGACGGCGGGCCCTGTTGATCACGAGCGATAGACGAACCGAAGGCCCAAGCAGGGGCAAGCAAAACAGAGAAACAATGACCGAGTGAGAGGGAGGGGGGTGACAAGTTCCCGCGGGATTGAAATAGACCGGTGAATTTAAGACGTTCGATGAGAAGCTGATACCAACCGTCCAGGTGGCCTTTTCCTTTGCGGGCGAAACATCATAGGTCATCGATGCCTGAGTCTTCCCACCCCATATTCAGGCATCAACAGCTCACGTGCTTTGCCGCGCGCTTCCCCCGCGCGCTACGCGTCAAGAAAAAGGCGAAGGCTGGGCGCGTTGTATACGGAGAAAATAATGAGCATACCAGCCCCCTCCATTTTCTCAATTCACCCTCGTTCCCCTCCGGCTTTTTTCCCACTCTCACCTGTCATTGACTCTGTTTGACTCTGTCCCGTTGTCCGTCGCAACTAGCTACAATAAGCGACACTGTTTGCCTCACGCGTCGGCCAGATCACCACACATCGGGGATTCGACCACACCAGCCCCCTCGGATGACCGCATCAGCAATCCTCCCCAGACAACAAAGACAGCGCCCCGACCTGTCGCCGACGCGCCCGCGCCCCTCGCATATCAATTGAGCCTCCCGGCTTTCCCTCCGCAGCCCAACAACCCACACACCACCACACCATGCCACCCAAAACAGGGCGAGGCCACAAGATCACCGCCGCGCCCCGGACAGAGGCAAGCAGCAGTCGTACCACCGCCGCCGCCGCCGGCCCGTCGACGGCGTCGCCGTCCGCCCACAGGGTGCGCAAATCCACCGGACCATCCAGAGGCGGGAAGCGACCGGCCGGCGCGCCGAGAGACTCCGACGTTCAACGTATGTGACCACCCACCCGCTTTCGCAGCGCATCGCAGCGCAGCGCGCCAGATCGAAACAAACTCCCCATGCTAACGTCTTGACCAGCCGGCGATCCCACCCCGACCGGTCGTCGTCGCCGCTACCGACCTGGCACCGTCGCCCTCAAGGAAATCCGCAAGTACCAACGGTCATATGACCTCCTCATTCAGAAGCTCCCCTTCGCGCGACTCGTCCGTGAAGTCGCACTCGATATCCTCCCCGCCGAGCGCGGCGCCGAGCTCCGTTGGCAGTCGCATGCCATCCAGGCCCTCCAGGAGGCCGCCGAGGCGTTCCTGGTGCACCTGTTCGAGGACACGAACTTGTGCGCCCTGCACGCGAAACGAGTCACCATCATGCAGAAGGATATCCAGCTTGCGCGACGAATTCGCGGTGTGTGGGGTGGTTTGGGCTAGTCGCTGGGCTGGCCGAGGCGCAAAAAGACAATTGAGAGTGCCGCAGAGGGTGTGGATCGGCTGAGGACGTTTTTGATCACTATAATACCATTGTTCCTCGGTGCTTTTGTTCGCGGGAGATTTCTTGTTATAACTGTCTCGGGCCATCATTGCTTGTCCCGGACTTGTTGGTTGGTGTATAGGTTGCAGGCGTATGAGAGTTCGGAGTCATCTTCGGAGCGGGTGCTTCTTGGTGTTCTCGATATCTTTGTTTCTTTTGATTTTGTGGTAGTTCCTTGTGTGTCGGCCCAGCGCATGTATATTAAGGCAGTGAATGTCAAGTCATTTCCGACACAGACGTGATTGAGTGCTCAACTGACTATTGAAGTACGAAACTGGGCGTAGTACAGTGCATAAAAGAAATACTTCATTGCTCATAACCTTGCATGAACCCCAGTGTCTCATTGCGCCAGGTATCATCCCATGCACCGGACCTTAACGTGGTATCATAGATTAAATCAAACTTGTACAACGACAACGGGGAATAGGAAGGAAAGAATCAAAGATGGGAGACGAAAGAAATCAATCAACAGGCTCGCTTTAGCGCCTCCGGCAGCCCATTCATCACACGATGGCCCTCCTCGCGGACACCCGTGGCCTCCTCATTCTTTCCCTGACGTTCCAGCGTCTCCGCCAGCATCTCGTCCGTAACACTGACCCAGAGGCGGTCGTTGGCTTTCTTGGCCATGGCGCGTCCGGCGCGGGCACTTTTCTCGGCCTGTTCGCCGACCACCCCGCGAAAGTACTTCCAGCTCATGAATGTCAAAGTCATGCAGGTGATCTGGCTGTTGCTGATCGCCGTGGCAGACTGGAGCGCCTGCTGGAGAAACTGTTTCGTTTGAATTGTAGACTCTGTCTGCACGGTGGCACAGACGAAAAAGTACGCCGCTTGTATATACTTGTTGGGACTGCCCTTGCAAAGAGACTCGATTGTCGCCAGCAGTTGGTGGAGCTGAGAGTGAGAAGGATGGGTGGGATCCCGCAGAAGGAGTACAGTGTTCAGCGCAGCGAGGATAGCAATGTCACGGCGAGGGTCGTTACGAGCAGTCTTACTCGTCGAAGAGGACAGTGACAGGGCTGGGGACTGGAAAGCATTCAAAGCTGTAGTCAGATCGCCGGTGGCTTGAGCGATGGTGCCCGCTGCATACTCCATCAGGCACTGAATGGAATCGGGAAGACTGTCACCCAGTTCCTGGGCCTCTTGTCGGAGGTCATTCAGCGTTTTGCTAGCTAGATCCCAGTCGGTGCGGCCACACGCAAGGAACACTTGCTGAAGGAGTAAGTTACAATAAAGGACCCTGCGCCACTCCACGCGCCTATTTGCGGTGATCATGGACTCTGTTATTTCGTGGGGAGCTTTGAAGCTTCCTGTCGAGGTGTTAGGTTGAAAGACCTCGGATGACAAAAGGAGACGGCCTTACCTTGTATCATGCGTATCCCTTCTTGCAGGAACTTTTCAGCCTTGCGGCCGTCATAAGAGTTCTTACAGCAAAGTGTAACGGAGCTGAGGAAATAGCAAAGGGCATACAAGTCGTGCTGTGGTAGCCAGTTGAAGCTCAGCAACAGGGTGCCATTCTGGACCTGGAGAATATCCCCGGTGTCAATGGAGGACGGTCCAGCCGACTTGCCATTGAGAGGGATGGAAAAGGACCCATCAGGGCGCCAATTCGGATCATTGAGCCGCTCGTCCATCATGTCTTGCAGGACCTTTAATTTTTGTGAAGACTGATTAATGTCATACTCGAGAAGGCTGCAGCAAATGTCGACCATCTGCACCAGGGTAGTCAGCTGCGGGATGTTGCGCAGCTCGTCATTCAACTGATGACTGCGAGCGATAGCCACCGCGCGCTGCGCCTGCTCAATTGAATCAAAAGTGGTCCCCTGCTGTAGATGGGCAAGAGCTTCAATCACGGCGGACATGGCCGAAACAGCTTTGTCGCCATTGCGATTGGCCATGGTGGAGATTTTATGGAGGTGTTGCAATGCGGAAACCGAGTCCTGGTGGGCTGGCGCAGATAGTGAGAGGGAAACACGAAGAAATCGAAATGCGTACTCCCAGGCGGAATGACGATATCTGTATTTATTAGCCTCGATCGTGTATAGAATTGTGAGCACCTCACGCTTCGACATCCTGGATCATTCCGTCAACGGCCTTCATCGAGGCTTTGGGATTTGTCTTATGAAGCATCCGCGCTAAGAGATGTTGCATGCTATATTTCAAGTCCAACATGCGATTCTGCAGTTGTCAGTATATCAGTTCAAGATCTGCCGGAACAAGGCCACCACTTACTCGTTCACATAGATCAATCTATGGAATCGTCAGCAACCATACGTATCAAATCACGCGCAGGGAACCAAACATACGCCTTTACTCAGGGCAGTCTCCGCTTCGAAATCGTTCTCAGTCTCCTCGAACAATATACGCGCATATCGCAATCGTACAAGGGCCTCCATCCGGGGTTGAAGTCGCCAATTCTATATCTGTCAGCAGTGTTGTTTTCCGAAACCGCCATCTACACCCACCTTCAACACAGCCTCCAGGCAACCAAGTCCCGTCGCAACAAGCTTGTAGTATTCTTCAACTTCCATCTCCCTCCTCATTAAGGCAATCATCGTCCCCTGGCTGTGGGCCGCGTTAAGATATTCGTCGGCCATTGCCAACAGCAGCACCTGGTAATCGACGGGCGTCTTGGCGGGCTTCTGCGGGGACCGCTGGCTGTGCTTGCGCTGTGTTTGCTCCTTTGAAGGGTTCCGCTGCACCTTCTGATGCACTTCGGGCGAGGGCGCCGGAATCAACACTTGGGGAATGCTCTTCGGTGATGGTGCTGGGGGAGTTGCAGCGACCGGTCGAGGCTGGACAGGCTTCGGCGTCGTCTTCGGCGCTGGCTGCGGGGTCGGCTGCGGTACAGGTTGGGGAGTCTCTCTATAGCCTTGGTTTGCCTGGTTCGGGCTAGGAGCGGCATAGTAGGTCGACGGGGTAGGGGTACTCGTAGGGAGGGCTGGTGAATGACTGCTGCCCGCAGCAGACACGGCGGATTGCCCAGCATATTGAGACGTCCCTTGGGTGAATCGCGAGGGAGGCAACGAAGGCATCGGGGGTTGGTGAAACAGATCGGATGGGTTGACATATTGCTGTTGCGGTTGCTGTTGTTGCGGCGGGGGCGGCGGTTGAGGTTGAGGCGGATGTGGATGCTGATGCTGGGGATGCGATTGCAGTTGCGGTTGCGGTTGCGTGTGGGGTTGCGGTTGTTGGTTATATGACTGTACATAGGTAGGATATGTCGGGATCATGACCTGGGGATAGGCCATAGGCTTGTTATATTGATAGGGCGAGCCATTTTGGGGAGCATTGTTGTACAGCAACTGCTGCGGTTGGATGGTCAGTTGAGGCGGTAGGTTGGGATGTTGCATGTACTGCGGAGGATATTGTCCGTGGTGGGGTGGTGGATAGCTCATCGCCCCAAGACACAGATTAAGGACATCAAACCAGTCACAGAGGAGAAAAAGGGGCGTACGAAGAGTTGCTGTTGGGATGGTTGAAGGTCATCGAGACAATCGTCTTTGGTTACCCTTTTGGTCCGCCGCGGACTTTTTTTCCGTTTGCGCGTCGGGGTCGGATAAACCCCAAGGCGGTGAGACAACGCGACACCTATGTTGTACGCTATCTAGAGGTGGGACTAACGCAGATACTCGATAGTATGACAATTCTCGTGGTAACAAAGGGTATACCCATATAAACACCCAGGAAATCCACACACAAAAGCAAGACATATCCCGATACACTAAACAGCAGATGACAAACAAATATCCAACACAGGGCCTTCCCTGAACAACGCCTGGTCCATCTATGTGAGAGTAATGCCGGTGTACAGTGTAATATTCCCAATCATTCAATCATCAGTCCGCGACTTCCATTCATCCGTCACCTGGTCCTGTCAGATCATGTTGATTGATGAATATAATTGATTCATCGACTGATCTTGCAGCCCAGGTTCAAGGATATCCATACCTAACGTGGGGGCACTGTTCAGGGGAGGATGCTCCCGGACAGTCCACGGACAGAGCTCACTGCAATTGTCCACGTCGATCGTATTCTCGGCTGGGTGGATGCGCTGCGACGCCCACATCTGGTCGGGAAGGGGCGTCGTTCCTCCCAGACATCTCTCAGTCCAAAAGAAGTAGATCGCCTTGCCGGACTCCTCTTCCACACGACAGGGCTGTTTGCGGGGGCATTTCAGAGCTGTGCCGCAGCTGTTGCATACCGTGATGCGCTTGCACGAGGAGCAAAAGCTGTCGTATATTCGGCAGATAGTGGTCTGACAGACACTTGAAAGCCACAAGTCGACGGATCGATGGGCGCATCCAAATCGAGGCGTCATGTACTCCTCTTTGCCCAACTGTCCGGAAGCCGTTGACAGGTGATACTCTGTCTTGACCATAAGCTGGTCGTGCTCATCCAACTCCGGGTAAATGTCAATCGCCAATTCGGTAGCACCGTAATGCTCAGTGCATGAGTGCCAACAGAATCGGTTCTGGACTCCGGTTCCAAACTGGGTGGATAAAACGTCCACGGATTTCTGCCGCATTTTCAGTAGCTCGACAAGATCAAGAGTATCGCGGTACGTCAGTTTTTTGCACGGACACAAATCAACGATTCCAGCCGATTCTCCCAAGTGACAAGTCCGTTCTTCGGCCTTCCGTCGCAACTCCCGAGACGGAAATGCGCTTCGTGGATGGAGCTTCAAGCATTTAGAACAGGCCCACCACCTACTGTTCTCGAGCAAGTTGATCAGCTGCCATCGAGGCGTGACGAAATTATGTCCATTCCGGTAGTGGTGAAAGAGCGGTGCAAAGTCTCTGTTGAAATGCAGGGACTTGGAGTCTAGAATGGCGCCGGAGATTGCGTATAGTCGCTTGCAGGTCAAGGCGAGACAGGCTTCAGGTAGAACCGTGAGGTGTGAAATGATCTCCAGGATGAGCTCTGTAGGTAGTTCCAAAAGATAGGACCGTTTGGGCGATCCACTCTCTCCCTTCTGCCTCTCTTCGAGGTTTCGGGTCCAGCGGTTCATCTTGGCGATTAACTTCAACTTCTCTGCAGCACGGCGAAAAGTATATGCCATATCGATCGGGTGCGAGACCGGATTGACCATGGATAGCTGCTCCTCAAGGCTGAAGGAGCCGGCGAACCGATTATTGGCTATGCTCTGGGGCCTTTGTACGGTGCTGTTTTGGAAAAAGGATGGTCAGGAGTTCATAGATCAAAGGAGAACCAGCGTGCTGCCTGCTGGCTCTGGGGATTCATGGTGTATATAGAAACACGAGGATGGAGATAATCAAGTCGCACACCGCGTGACAGAGACCGGCGCCAAAGGAATAAGAACGCAAAGGAGGGCCTTTTGACCTGGGCAGCAAACCGCCTATATGTCTACAGCCTTGCACGCAAACGGAGCACGCGCCAGGGTCACAGCGGAGGCAGCGTTATCAGTCTGTCCACCCGAGCACGCATCCTATGCTCGTTCGTGGTTGGTCGAGACAGGATCACTGAAGGTGGGAGCCGCATCCAAAGGCACAACTACCGACAGCAACAGGCATGTACTGGTGGGGAATTTTGAGAAGAATGAATACAACCATGTCGATGATGGCATCCGGCCGCTTCTTACTAGAGCTTCCGCATTCGGAAGCCCCGCTCTGCCGCATCAAGCGCCGTCTGGGAATTCCCACGGGCCGCAGAGTCGGCGACGAGAGAAATGTCGATCCATCCGCAACAGAGAAAACCCCAAGGGGAGAGATATCGAATGCAACTGAGCCACGAGCTGAAAGTGTCCGGTGACATCGACGTCGCATGATCGGGCAAAGCAGTCAGTCGTCGATCCTTTTGGAGGGTCGTGATCACGTGGTGATACCATCAGGATAAGGTGCTTATGTCATTATCGACTCGTCGATCACTAATCAAGATAGAGAGAGCTTAAAGAGGATTGAAGACTAGGTAGGTACCTCATGAACATGAAACAAGACTACAAACACAAAGGAAGTATGATGCGGGACTAATCTGGCATTGTGGTTCCGGTTGAAGATACACACATATCATCTTATGCAGCCAGACGTCACTTCGGCTACTTATTGAGCTTACAGGTTCTTAAGTATGTAGGAAAAGAAGCCAAAACAAAACAGAACAAGGCATAGAGAAAAGTTATCAAGAGAATCCGAGTTCTGTATGTCGAAGGGACAAATAGGTAAGGGTCTGGCGCATTGTGCCTAAAAGAGTACTCTGTATGCAGGCAATTGGAGATACCGAGGCACAATCGATTGTTATTTTAAGGTTCGGCCCTATCAAAGCCTGAGGCTTGCCACGGTCTGTCGATTCAACACATCGTTGCAAATTTCTCATCTCCAGTCACTCTCCCTACTTGAACTGCTTCATTCACACATTAATTTATACATTCTTCTTTTCCTTCATTATTTCTCCTCCCAGAGAGGCAGTGGCTTATGTAAGGTCGCTGCGGATCGGATCGGATCTCCATTCATTCATCTTTTGTCATTTGGTCGAGCCAAACGGGAGAAAAGCCACCCTTGCGGTGTATCAAGACCTCCGTGACAGAGTCAGCTCTATAGTCGCCAGCGTTTTACCATTGCATATTCTGTGGTTCATTATTTGGTTGATCAACTAAATCGGCCGTTTCAGAGCGCTGTTCTGATTCCGTCCCGTCTTCCAAGATACAATTATCTACTTACCTTAGCCTCATGGCTGCGGGCGACTCATCCGGCTTACTTGACTTGTTCCCGGTATCCATTCTCCTATCCGGGCTGTTCGTTATGGGTTTCTTGTCGTGGATGCGCCCTACAGGCCGAGTATCGTTCTATAATGCAAAGGATAACAGCCTTCGTCTGACCAAGAAAATTGGCAAGTCTGGGTCCAAAGAGCAGACGACATTGGCAGATCTTTGTCGGAGTGCGACCCCCACAAAATGCCAGCTCAACCCTTTCCTTTTCAATGGTCATCTGCAGACAGCGTGGACGACGATGAAGTTTGACAATGTGCCCGTGTACTACAAACGTCGGGTACTACAAGCCAACACCCCCATGCTCACTGGTCACTTTGCAGTGGACTTCGTGACCGAGCCGTACGAAGTTCCCCAGGATGGCCCGAGGACTGATCCGGAGAGGAAGTACACCCAGCCGTCAGGGTTACCCGAACGGACCGCTTTCTTCACTGAGGAAGAATTCGCTGCTCTCCCGTCGGATGACACCAAACCTATGCTGGTGGTGCTTCATGGCCTCAGCGGTGGCTCGCACGAGCTTTATCTGCGCCACGTTCTTCACCCCCTGATTGCTGATGGAACCTGGGAAGCTTGCGTCGTCAACTCTCGAGGCTGCGCTCAGACGAACATCAGCAGCGGCGTGCTCTACAACGCCCGCGCTACGTGGGATGTGCGTCAAGCCGTTCAGTGGCTGCGTCAAATGTTTCCGAACAGACCACTTTTTGGCATCGGGTTCTCCCTCGGTGCAAATATCCTGGCTAACGTAAGTTTGCTTTCCCCGCCATTCTTAGGGCCTGCATGTCTAACGAGCTTTGTTAGTACCTGGGAGAAGAAGGAGATAAGTGTCTATTGAAATCGGCCGTACTGGTTGCCAGCCCATGGAATCTTGAAGTCAGTTCTGCGAACTTGCAAAGCACGTCGATCGGCCTTGCGTACAGTCGAGTGATGGGATCTAGCATGAAGAGGCTTTTTGAGGCGTATGTATGCTGGCATATTGAATGGGTCTCTTCTAACCGCAAACAGGCACGTCGACGCAGTCTCCAAGAATCCTCGCATTAATGTTGAGGAGGTGCGGAGCATTACTTACTTGCACGAGTTTGATCGGTAAGCAACTACTATCCTAGCGAGGAGACATAGTGGCTGATTTGCTACGTCTAGGGCCGTACAATGCGCTTCTTGGGGCTATCCCACCGAGGGCGCGTACTATCGCGATGCCGCCTCGATTGATACTATGCTGAATATTCGTATTCCCTTCTTCGTTGTCCAGGCGGAAGACGATCCGGTGCGTTATAAGATACCGCGCGTTCAAGTAGCCGATTCTAACGTCTAAAGATCGCATCTGCCAATGCACTGCCATGGCAAGAGATCAAGCAAAACCCCTACGGAGTCATGATGACTACGTCCTGGGGTGGGCATCTCGGTTGGTTCGAGCTTGGAGGGGACCGATGGTTTGTCAAGCCGGTAAGTTCACCACTCTTTATCGGCCATGAAGCAGTCTGACCCCTTCCGGTAGGTAAACAATTTCTTGAACCTTATGGCTAAAGATATCGACCTTGACACTCCGTTCGTGGTTGAGAACCCGGAGAGACTCCCCGGCCACATTCCTAACCACGCCGATCCCAGCAAAGAACCGGACACCGCACCCAAGCCAGACTTCAACCCAATTCGACGGAAGCTGGACATGAAGCTGGCGGTGTCCAAATGAAGTACATGTTTCGCATGCGCACGTCGAAGATTTGAGCTGGATATGCAGGCAAGATTCTCATGAGTTGTCATTGATATCACGGTTTGTTGAACACATAGACCAGTGCAAACGCCAGAACCCCATCTAGATACATAGACTATAGACAGAATGCTTTTTACAAAACTCTTCAAGCAAAAGAAACGCTCTTTCTTTTCCCCTTTGACTTCGAAGACGAATCATTAGTTTGGGCCGTTGTAGAAGCTGATTTCGCGTTGCCATCGCCCTTGTGCTTCTTCTTATTACGGATCGAGTCCTTTGCCTCTTCCTGCAATTGTCATGTCAGCGATCCAATCAACGGCATCAACGATGGCAACCAATCTCAACCTACCAGCTTGGATTTCTTCTGCGCTTGCCTGGCCTCAGCCTCCTTCAACTTGGCTTCCCGAATCTCTTCCAACTGACGAGCCTTCATCATCTTGGACTCGATCTGGCCTTCCTTCTCCGCATTGACAATAGCAAGAATAGTCGCCATACCCTCCTGAATATCCGAGCATAGTCAGTATCATCGCCGACATGGTCAATTGGAGAGAAAGTAGAGCGTACCGGATCATCAACGAAAACCTTGCCCTTCTTCTTTCCCTTGGGCTTCACCACACCAACCGGCGTAATCGAGTTAAGCTTCGGGAGATCTAGCTCGGCCTCGCTATACTCTCTCTTCTTTGTCTTCTTCAACTGCGACGCTTCGGTGCGTGCCTTGGACTTGACTTCCTGTGGCGGCGGGCGCTTGGCGGCCTTCTTCTTGCTCACTTTCGACGCGGAGGCGAGGGGATTGCTTTTCTTCGAGTCGGCCTTGCCCTTGGCAGAGCCTTTAGTTGGCGCCATTGTTATCGTTTAATATACTGAGGTGTTGTCCAGCACGTGGGAGAGAAGGTGTTTGATTAATCGGCGATCGAATGCGCGGGAAATTTTCAACGGGCGATAGTTGTGTCCCGGTCGCAAGGATAAGGGAGACAGACGGTGACAGTAATCCGACCTTCAGGAATGAAACAAGACACAAAATCAATCAAGATAATCAACCTTGAACATGGAGCAAAAAGAAAAGTCCCGCGTGAAGGAAAAGAAACCGGTCCATCGCAAAGACAGAAATTTTTGAAACGGGCAGGCGGTGAGACGGGCAACGCCGGGCGGACCATCGAGCGTCACGCTAGCCAACCTCATTCTTCCTTCCCTCCCCCAGCGATCCCACGGCCCTCTGTCTGTCCCCTCTCTCCCCTCCCTCCCAGGCCTCGTTCTCCCCGCCAGTCGTGCCCATTGTTGAATTGCCTCGTTCAACATGACCATCAACCCTACCTATCTCGCGCAGCGCACGCGCTCCTGTACGTCCTCCCTGGGACCCGGACCCAGTCCGACACTTAGAAATTGCCGCGATGTCAATGGACGGAATGGATAGCTAACCTGTCTCGCCTGCTACAGCGGTCAACTGGGCCGATGCCAGACGTCGTGTCCTCAAGTCGTACAGAGAATGGCTCAGAGCGGTCAGTGACTCCCAATTGCTCCTATCTCGCCGTGGATGAGCCCGTCCGTGTCATAACATCTACCATCACCTACCGCATATCGATCTCGCACCACTCCAACACATTCGTCCAATTACCCCTACGAACCAGGATCAACAGTCACACAGTCAACCAGGATGGAACCAGCATACTGATGAGAACAGTCCCCCGAGATCCAAACCATGTACTCTCTGAACATGCCCGTCTCCGCCATCCGCACAAAGGTCCGCCAGGAATTCGAGAAGCACCGCTACGTCAAGCAGCTCAGCGCTGTTGATGTGCTGCTGTTCCAGAGCCACGCCGAGTTCCAGGTCAGTGACCCTCGTCAGCCGGATGAAGAGAAAGCCAGCTACCCGGCATCTATTTGTCCTGCGGCTTTGTTATCTTTCTAAACCCGGCTTCCGACGCACAGATGCTAACCCAGCTTATAGGAGACTCTCAACTACTGGAAGCAGCTGTCGCATGTGATGAAGTACTTCCGGCCAGAGGAGGACCCCGGTGCCCGGCTACCTCCCAACTTTATCTCTGGCTTCCTTGAGGGCCGCAATTAAATCGATTGTCTCGTTTCTTTTCCTTTTTCTTGTTTTCTGCATGCATCGGAAGTCCTCTGTATTCTGAGGTGGCGCGATAGAGTGCTATGTAAATATTGTTGAACTAGCTAACGTGAGTCTTGGTGTCAGTGCATGTAGTTATCCAAATAGGTACCTAGATAGATGGGTTGACCTCCGAGTGATCTCATGCATCAACTGGATATGCATATTGCGCACAACCTCCTTACAGTGGGCATCCCTCACTAATAGTGGCCTATGCTACGTATCGACACAAGATAAAAGGACTAGGTCATCCAACAATGCTGAGTTGCAAACACGGGAAAAAGACAGTCCAAACCCACGGCATAACTCATGATATATACAACGCCAAAGACAAAACACCCGGTCTACACAAAGAGACATATGCACGCCACTCCAGCAATAACACGAAATCAAGCGCTCATTTTGTCGGCCTCGGCGGCATTGAACGCGTCGCGCGCGTCTGTAAACTTCTCCGTCACAACGTCGCACAGATCCATCAGACTATCCAGACCCTTCTCGAGGGCTTCGACCGCATTCGTCGTATCTGGTCCGTCAGCTGCTTTCCTTTGCACAACACACGACAAAGGAGCGTAGACTCACCATAGGTCTGAATACGCAGGTTCATCTTCGTCTCGGACGGGTGGGGGATAGTGTATCCGCAGAACTCGACCTGGGGGCTGTGGTCACCAGTCAGCGTGCCTCCTCTTGTTAGAAATGCAGACAGCAGACTTACTTCTTCATGATGGCGTATCGCAGCGCATTGCCGAGCGTGTGGCCCTCGCCTTCAAACTGGAACGAGGCGGCGGTTTCGGTGGCGCCGGGGAGCTGCTCTGGTTAGCCATGGTCGATCTTCGGACTGAAGCTGAGGCCTGGAGACGAACAATGACGATGCGCTTCTCCTCCAGCTCCAGCACGTCTTCCTGTTCCAGCTGCTGCTCTTGTTCCTGGGGCGCGGCGGCGTCCATCATGGACTGGTCCTGGTCCTGGGAGTGTACGGAGGAGGGCATGGTGTAGTATGGCTCGAGGGGAGTGGAAGTACGAGGGGTCGACGGGGACTGGGAGCCGAGCAAATCACACGTGGAAAAACCCGGGGGAGGATACGGTCGTCTGAATGCAGATAAACAGGTCGATCAACGGCAATGATATAGCGAGCAGCTGTCGTCGCAAATTCGCGGATCGAATTCGGCGGGAGAAAAATGCGAAAATTGGTTATCGATAGAAGCTGGGTTTGACCGCCTTCCCGATGGGGACCGCATCCCACGCGGCAACTGGTCAATCCAGATGCATACCGCTCTATCGTTTCTTTTCAGTCTATGTATTTGATGTTATACTCCGTAGGTATAGGAAATATTTCTGATGTCATGCTTTGGGCTTCTATATATACCTAGAAATTAACACGCAGCCCGAGTCCCCAGTCTATGTGTCCGAGAGGCTCTCAAGAGGGCTACATATATTCTTGCGCAGCCCTCCAGTGCCGACAGTGCCACAATATATCGTGATGACAGAGCTATCGACCGCTGGCATGCACCTTAATACGGAATTCAGCGTCTAACTGATCTGACAACTGGAATTCCATCAGACCAAGTACTTGTGCGTTGTTGTTGTTGCTGGGAGTCACATACTATTAAGGTTAGCTGCTGGAACAGGGTACATATGGAGCCCCATTTAGACAAACCTCCATACAAAACCCAGATTGGCAATGCAGCTGCTGATGCCAATAAGCAGAATAAATAGTGCCGCGATTCAGGAACGCCAAGCTAAAAATGAACACCATAGGGTTGTTGTCCAGACAGGACGGTATTGCGATCGGCCCAAACCCGCTCGCTTGATGGCTCAACGCAAAGACCACCCCACGTCCACATGGGAGATTAATATAACCCGTTCACCCGCTCATATTATTAGCAACAGTCCGTGCAGGCAATGGCCGTTTCTGTGACGATAGGATTCGTCGACTATTTAGTTCGATTGAGGAGAGAACTGACTCGAGCAGGGCCCTGAGAGTCAGTAGTGTCTCATAGAGAGACCCCTGCTTGGCAGTATGGGATGATTACTCCGTATTAATTGAAAGGAGAGAATACTATCGCGGTACGAAGTCCAAAACATATCACCGCGACAAAACCGGTTCATCGGTTCATGCACGAGTGATTTGTGGATGATGGCCACGTTGTCCAGCAGAGAAAATACTAAATGGATAGATACACGATCTTCGTGCTGTCAACTGGATCCACGAGAAAACCCGATCTTCCCCAGGACGGAAAGGCAGGTGATAGAGCGAATTCCACACGACCCAGAAACTAGTGGTTCATCGAAATGATGGCAGCTCAGTCCGGGCTTGTAATTTGCAAGGAACACACGTGGGCCCGCCGAACAGAGGACGATGAATGGCACGACGAACGCTTGGGAAATTGGATCACGATAATAGTAGGATGTGATAATAATAATACAGAGGACCCCGTAATAACAGCAAGACAAAAGAATGGGATTATCATTTGCGTCGGATGGGTCTCGGCATATGAGTCGTGCCTTTGGTTCTGTCCCCGCGATCCGCGAATCTCTCCGATGACGGGCTGGAAATAGAAACAGTGTCCAGCGTGCTGCTCGAGTCGTACGCACGAGGTGAAGATTCATGCTTTCTTGGATGTATGATTGTACTCCGTATGTACCTGTAAATCCAAGCGAAAACAAAGACGCTGTGGATGGAAGAGTGATGGGCCCTGGGTCGAGACCCCTACTGCGCCGGGACGCAAACTAATGTCTAGCGCACATCCCCGACAGGACCGAACAAGCATTGGCGCTGCAACCACCGCAGGGATTGGATCCCAATCTCAGCCCCCGGATGGAGCGGTCTGCATTCGGTCTGTCTGGAACAGACAGGATTTGGTTTGTTCGGGAGGGGATGTCTTGGGATTCGGCCTTTTGAGGGATTCCGGATGGTGATGGAGGTCGGGTCGGAGTTTCCTTGCTACATATGTACAGATTGTTGTAGCAATCGTTGTCTACATGACTGTTTCAGTAATACTTCGTAGTCCATAGCAATAGTAAACCTAGTAGTAGTAGGAGTAGTAGTAGTCGAGGGATGTCGGCCATTGGAGTGCCTTACTACTGTACTCCGTCCTCTAGTGGTTCGTTTCATCTAGGCGAGGATGGCCGACTGCCTAATCGAGCATGCGCTGCGAGAAGCCGCGGGATTCACCTCCGGGTTCTGGAGGAGCGAGAGGAGATCTAAGTCCGACGATGGTTTTCGGTAGAGGAGCAGTGACAGAAGTGGTCGAATGCCCGCGATGGTCAGTCAGAACGATCGGCTGCCAAACTTTAAGCAGGAAGCACTGATCCCGTCCAGGCTGGATTGACAATTGACAATTGACACCACCACGACCATGGAGGGGGATCGATGACGAATCAGGTGGCGGTGGAGGAGGATGAAACAGAGGTCCCCGATCCAGGTCCATCGGCGATCTTGGGGTGGTTTGATGGTTTGGTGGAGGGGCTCTCGACTCTCAACTCTTGAGCGACTTTTCATGCCTCGAGAGAAGACACCATGGTCCGCATGGATGTATGACAAACGATCAATGCATTTGGCTGCTAGTTAGTTATTGTGGTGAATTGCTTTATCATTTTAAATCAGCTCGATAGAGATCAAGCAACTGAGGCTGGATTCATGGGTCGGAGCTGGACTATTGTTTCCACCAGTTTGGCGCCGGTGGATTCCAGAGGGACCGTGTTACGGAATACCTAACTAGTACTGTAGCCATGTTTACCTAGGTACACAGACATAAGGAACTTGCAATAAGGTACCGAATGATCTTCTACAAGTATAAAGAAAGAATTGTCATTATTATTTTATTACTCCGTATTCTTATCTGGCGATCATGAGAATGGTAGAGTTAGTATGCTGTACTATAGATGCGCATATCATTTGATGAAATAATTATTTTCCTGTGATATACCTAGTAAGAATAAAGGAATAATAATACAAAAGAAAAGAAATAAAAGAAAAGAAATAATACTGTAAATAAAATCAGCACTAATCGAGTGTCACATCATCGCGGGCAGAAACAAACCATGTCTCAGGCAGCCCCAATCAGCCCTCGATCAGCATTATTTTCAGGAGTTGGATGGATTCCACCTTGATTACTATTGTTTTCGATTATTATTAGGTCGTGTTATTATTTTCTGATTCCTCTCTGATTCATAGCACAGTACTCGGAGCACATCGACTGACGGTTTAGCTTTGATTTGGCTTGTTTCATTCTCCAATCGTCCTCCTCGACCTATACTAATAAGGTATCCTGCTCCCCTCCGCCCTTCATCCTCGACTCCCTCCCTCTCTCTCTTCCCTCTCCTCCCTCTTCTCTCTCACCTCTTCTCCCTCCTCTCTCTTCTCTTTTCTTCCCTCGCTCGTTTCTTTTTCTCCCTTTCTTTCTCTCTCTCTCCCCTCCCCCCCTCCATCTAGGCCCAGACCACCATCCGGGTCCTCCCTGGCACCTCCCCTGGTCAGACCGACCTCTCAGCATTGTCACACTGCCGCCAGCTAGCCTGCCTTAAGCGCCTGTCCCAACGATCCCTCCACGCCCGTTCGCTCCATTCCGTTGGTCCAACGCCTGCTTCCAGTGCCACTTGTCGGTTGGCTCCCCTCCCTTCTGCCGTCGGCCTCTTCGTGGTCCCATCGCTTTCCCTCCGTCTTCCGATTCCTCTCCTCGCCCTCTCAGAGCCCAGAGGTATAGCCGCCTTCGTTCTCCTCAGGCTCCTCTCTCCGCCACTGTTGCGCGGCCTTGTCCACCAAGGAGTCGCAGACAAAGAGAAGCTTGATACCGACTTTGCACCAGACGGGTTGACCGTTCATTATTTCGGGGTTGCACCGCCATCCGAGAAGGACATTTATATACCGCGACGGGGACACGTTGGACTGTGTTGACACCGTCCTTACGCCTCATCTTCGTGTGCAGATCGTTTGGTTCGGCAGTATCAAGGAGCTTCCCACAACGATCCGCCCTGACCGACCGCCGGAGCCTTACCTCACTCTCTCCGCTTCTCCCCTCTAGCCAGCATGTCTACGGCGGTTGCGCCTGCGACCGCTGCCTCCTTGACCTCTCCGCACATGACTCGTGATCCCAGCCCAAAAAGTTGCCCCACGATGGCTCCCACTGCCTCCAGTAGCAATCAGACGAGCGCAACGCCGCCGCGCCTGTCGGGGACCTCCCGTGATGGTTCCTCAACCAAGAGCTCCCCTTCGGAGAAAAAGCGAACGACGCCTTCGTACGTTCCCGCATGCCAGTGATCCTCTGGCGCCGACATGCTAACCGAGCAACAGGTCTCAAAATGCCCCCAAGGTGATTGTAAAGAAGGAGCCCGCCTCGCCCGCCATGCAGCCTCATACCCGGCCTCGACCCCGGAAATTGGATCTGTCGAGTAGTCTCCCAACCTCTGGGGGCCTGTCGGCGCGGCCGCCCGGGGGCCCCATGACAGCTCGCGAAGGCGTTAATATGCAGGAAGTCGGCATCGCCTGTCTGTCTCCCGGCTTCCAAACCCATGATCCCATCATGCGCGAACAGTTACAGCGCAGCCTTTCCGTCCGTGATCAACAGAGGTCCATCATCGAATCGCGACTGCAAAGGTCGGCGAAGGATGACGGCCCAGATGGCACCAGACCGTCCGAGGCGTTCGGTGCCCCCAAGAGCTCCAAAAGAAAGCCGCCCCCGGGATTGTCAATCGTCCCTCCGTCTGCAACCCAATTCGCGAATGAGCGCGTAATCCAATCCGCCCCCTTGAATCAGACGTTCACGGGTCGACAGCAAGCGCAGCCGTTGACTCGCCACGTCGTCAACCAAAGCCCTACTTTGGGATCCACCTCTCATATCCATCATCTTCCTGCCACCCAAACCAACAACCGTCTCCCGCCCCTCTCCGACGTGTTTGGATCCGATGCGTTAGGTACACGCGAACGGGATGTGAACCGCTCTCAGTATTACCAAGGGACTTCAGCTTCCAACTCTTCGCAATCGAACAACCTTCCCCCCATGCCCTCTCCACGGATCCCGGGAGCTTCTTCCCAGGCCTCCATGCGGCCGCGTGAATATCGCTCTGCCGAAGAAGCTGTACAGGAAATGTCCGGCGGACGGGAAGAGCTCTTGCCTCGAATTGTACACTACGGAGGTCACCAACCGCCCACCCCGCCGTCTCCACGGATCGCGAATGGTCCCAAGTCCGCTGTACCCCATCTGGAATCCGTGGCCATGGCAAATGCATCCGCACCTGCTCCTCCACCGGTGCACTTCTCGACCGAGGGCACCGCGCGTCGGCGCCCTCGGAGCGAATACGAGCAGGATAACGGAAGTCCTCCCTTAGGCCACGGACCGGAGCCACACTACCGGCCAAATCCCGCTATGAGCGGATCAAGTGCCGCTTATGGACCGTTCGGGGCGGGCAGAGACTCGCCCGAGACGCAACGGAGAAAGAAAGAGGAGTTCTTGAGTTTGTGTGCTCGCGCGTGGGACTTATTCCACTCCTGAATCCAGAAGGTGGTCTATCAAAGACGAGATGTCTTTGGTGGTCTTGGAAGACCGTTGACCATCTTTCTGTTGTGTCCATAAGTGAAGTGGACATGATTCATCCACTTCGATATACATAAACAACAGCACTACTGGGAGTATAAGGCTTGCAGTATTATGGCACTTTTGATACGACAATCCTTCGTGGGCATTGTATTGACCACGGATGACTACGTCCGCACGATTAACATGCAACACTACGAATATCTACGGGGTTACTACGATCATGCCCGCGCAAGGGCTAATGGAGGACTAGGTCTCTATGATATAGTCATTGCTCTTTTACCTTCTTTCATCTCTTTTTCATTCGAGTTTATACCACCCATGGAAAGGCCCCCAACGATTGCTTCTTTACTTGGTCAGGCGTTATCACGGTTTCTGTATTTTCATGGTTCATGCGCTGAAGACTCATGTCAATATCTATTCCCATCTCCGCCATCTTTGGCATTCGTTTCTTTGGCCACCTTGGGCTTTTATTTTTTTTTGCTTTTGGATACCATTGTATCGGTTATTTTGTTTCTTGACATAGCATCTTCATCTCCTGGCTGATCCACCCTTTCATATGCTTCTTCATCATTCTGGATATCCAACAAATCTCAGGCGTCTTTGGATCGGATCTATTGTACTAAGCTGGTAGGACGGCATAATGATTAATACCAACTCGCGTCCCGATTGTGACAAACCTACCAGTATATAGAGCACTAAGCTCGACATATACACTCGTCAGCTTGGGAATATCAACAAATTTCCTCGTATGCTTCCGCAGTTGATTCAATTACAATGCACTCATAAGATCGCTAGAATAACAAGACATTCAGGCAACTCGACGTCGCTTTCTTCCAGGGCCGTCATGCGCTGGTGCCGCATCATTCTCCAGCCCCCGTCGTTCCATAGGCATCTCCTTCCGTTCTTTCGAAGCCATCTTCTTACGCCTCCGTTCCAGAGCCTTCATGCGCTCCTTGGAGTTCATGTTCTCATACTTCTTCAGAAGGACCTGTTTCTTCAGGTCCGACTTCTTCAGATAGTACGGATTACTCTTCTTTCCTTCGCGAATCAGCTGCTTCTCCTTCTTCTTATGCTCCGCTAAAATCTCCCTCTCCCGCTTCTGGTTCTCGATCGCACGCAACCGGTCACTCGTGGACCGGATAGCCCGCTTGAGTTCTTCTTTCTCGGCAGCATTCTTGGTCTTGGCGTATTTCTCCTTCAGCTCCTGCAGTTCCGACTTGCGATAGTCGTCCAGGAAGGCGTAGGCCTTGTTTGCCGCGTCGGGGTTGTGCCGGCTGCTGTTGCTCAGCACCGTCGGATCGAAGCGCGGATCCCGCGCCTTGGGGACCGCCGGGGGTTCGATGATGGTGCGTTTGCGCGTGACAGCGCGCTTGGACGACTGCACCATGGGGGCGTGTTTGGAGGATCGGGTGGGTTTCTTTTCGTCGCCCGTCTTCGACGACAGTTGCCGCTTCTGTTCGCGCGCTTCGCGGATCCGGGCGCGGATGTCGTCCAGCGGTGACGCGGTGGTCTCTTCGTCGGTAGATTTGGACTTGCGCTTGCTCTTGGGGCCTAGCGATGCCTGCGCTTTGGCGAGAGCGCCGAAGGAAATGTTGCTGAGGGAGGCTTTGACGTCGTCGTCCGGGTTGTCATCATCTTCGCTGTCGCCCTCGTCCTCGTCGTCGTTGCTGTCGTTGTCGTCGTCATCGTCTGACTGCTGGTCGTCGTGCAGCTCGTCCTGGGATTCATCGGTGTCGGGGAGGGAACCATGGCTGCCATCGTCGGAATCGGACTGTCCGTCGTCGCTGGGCTCTTCAGACTCTGCTGCGTCGGAGTAGACCTCCTCATCTTCATCTGGTAGTGCCCGCACCCGGCGATTGAGGAGATCAGAGATAGCCATTGTAATAGTGCGGTTCGCAAATAACGAACGAAGATATCTGCATGGACTGCGGCGATGGAGGCGGCGTGAAAAAATGCGTGGATACTGCCGGTCACTAAGGCGGTAGGAGAGGCGGCGTGGCCGATTTGTCGCGATTAAATTTAATTTACGCTTTTCTCTTTTCGCCATCCAAAGCAGCTTCATTCCCACGTTTTGGACGATTCCTACGCTCCCATGTCCTCATGTTCTTGAGATGTCGCTCTGCTTTCGATTATTGTTATCATCGTTCCAGTCCGTCGTCTTACCTGTCAGTGGCCGCCACTGAGTGTTTGGCCCGGAGTGGGGATTTGTCCAAGGTCCGCATCTCATTCCACTGCTGCCCTACGGATTGTTTGCTGACCAGAGCAGTCCATTTTGCATACACCAGCCTTGTATTATATTGCGTCCTCACGAACATATTACTCCTCTGCGCCTGCATCGAATCATCCTAGACCTGCCAACTCCGGAATGGAACCCCATAGAGCCTCCAGCGATACCCTATCGAGTACGGAGGATAGACTCGAGTATAGGGGCACGCGCGGGGGCAACTCAAAGCCATCATGGAGGCCATACCAAAACCGATGGCCTGCCTGGCCTCCAAAAAAGTCAATTCCCCAGAAAGCTGGCAATCTCGCTTCACAAACGCCGGAAAACGGTGCACCAGTCAATTCCCAGAAGAATCGCAAAGGCCGCAATTCGAAGAAGAATTCGGTTCCACAGACGCAGGCCCACGGCTCACAAGCGAACGCATCCACGAGCCACAACGTTCCTGTGAATGGTCCGAACATGAATATGCCATTCTTCCCCGGGTTGCCTAGCTACCCGCCAGCCACTGGCCCGACCAGCAACCCGGGTCTCCCGCAGCCGTTCTTTTCCCAGAACATGCCCAACCCACCGATGCAGTTCCCGCTAGATCCTAACGCACCCTCATGGAACTCGTCCTCGTGGAACGATATGAACAACCCTATGAACTTTCTTCCTCCTCTGCCGCCACCGCCAATCATGAACTTTGGCGGACAACTCCCGGATCTGCCGGCGCCGCCCATGCTCAGCGGCTTCCCCTCGTTTCCATTCGACCCCATGGCCTTTGCGGCAGCTGGACCTGCCGGTGCACACGCGGCCAACTTGAACGGACAAGTCTCAGCACCCTTCAACGGCCCACGCCACGATCGAAGCTCCGTCCCACCGGAACCACCAGCACCACCCGCACCAACCGATTCATACCTGACGCAGTCCTCGCAACCACCGCGGAAGCTCCCCTTCCCGCGACCGCTTCTCGTCATCCTAGACCTGAACGGCACGCTCATCTACCGCAAACACCGCCGCATGCCGCCGGTGTTCGCCCGCCGCGCCGGCCTCGACCAGTTCCTCGACACCCTCCTGCAAAAATACAAGGTGATGATCTGGTCGAGCTCGCAGCCGGAAACCGTCAACGCGGTGTGCGAGAAGCTCTTCACGGGCAAACAGCGCGCCGCGCTCGTCGCCGAATGGGGCCGTGACAAATTCGGCCTGACCAAGTCGCAGTACCGCGCCAAGATCCAGGTCTACAAGACGCTCAGCACGGTGTGGGCCAGCGACGACGTGCAGGCCTCGTACCCCAGCTCGCGCGCCACCCGCAAACGCCAGAAAGGCAAGAACGGCGGCGCTTCCGCTGGTGGTCCCCACTGGGACCAGACCAACACCATCCTGATCGACGACAGCAAGCTCAAGGCCGTTAGCCAGCCGTACAATATCCTCGAGATCCCCGAGTTCACCAACCAGCCCGGTGTCGACGAGGCTGCCATCTTTCCCAAGGTCCTGCAGTGTCTGGACGCGCTGTCCCGCCACGACGACGTCAGCAAGGTGCTCCAGCAGTGGTCTTCCCAGCTCACGGGGACCAGTGTGCTGGATTTTGTCGCAGGCGGCGATGTAGTCGACCCAGACGACGTCGCGGGCGCGCGTAAGCTGCGCCGTAAAGCCCGCAAGCAGGAACGCAAGGCGCTCAAGCGGGACAAGAAAGCGGCGTCTCTGCGTGAAGCCCAGAAACCCCGTGTGGAGAATGTCGTTGCCGCTGTAGCTGCTACGGAACAGTCTACAACCACGACGAGTACGTCTGCGTCGTCGACGCCGCAAGAGCCGCCGTCTGAACGGTCGCCGTCGCCGGTGTCGTCAGTGGGGTCGGCGAATTTTCTTCTGGATCGTCTGGAGGAATCGTTAAATGTACAACGGGAGTGATGTGTACAGATGTCTGATTTGCTGTTTTGACTTTGATACCCAAGATTTTTGCATGGAACACGTTACATATTAGACCTCGTCTATAGAACATGAATAAACTACAACTACATAAAGCTCAACTACAATGGAAATATATGTAGCGGTACCAGCACATAGTGCTCACTGAATTGCTAGCTACCTGGCTACTGCATCATCCAACATCGCATTCATAACTGGACATGACCAAAGAAAGCTTTTGAAGAGGGGTTGACGAAGGTAAAAGACGTAAACCGTTCCACATGAAAAGCGTAGCGGGGGAATATTAAAAGAAGAATCGGGAGGGGAACAGGGACCCCGCGGGAGGAAGACTCCGCGTCCCCAAGGGATTGGAACTGGAGAATTTTTCTAAGGCCGAGTACCATTGAGATGCTCACCCCAACGAGAAAAACAAGAAGAGGTCATCATCATGAGTTTTGCGTTCGTCGCTTATTTGAAGACGTGGCCGTCAACCCAGGGGTACTCCTTGCCGTTGACGGTGACGGGGACATCCCAGGCCCACATGTCGTCAACGAGCTTGCGGTCCTCCTCCTTGGAGGGGTCGAGCTTCTTGAAGTCGTAGCTCTCCCAGTCGGGAGCGACATCGAAGGCGGGAACGTGCTCCTGGCCACGGACGAGGAAGACACCGCGGATGACGCAGTCGTAGTTGGTACCGTAGACGGACTGGGCACCGAAGAGGTACTTACGAGAGCCCTCCAGACGAGCGTGGAAGCCACCAATCAGGTTGTTGGCCATGAAGGTGAGCTTCAGCTCGCTGTCGTACTTGTAGTCGACGGCCCAGAGGGAGTACTCCTCGGGCTTGTAGTTCTGCCAGAACCAGGGGAGGGCAACGGGACGGGTGTCCTCGTTGGAGTACTGGCGCTTCCACTCGTCAAGGACGAACTCAGGCTTGCCGAGAGCCTCCAGGGGGTGCTTGGGCTTCTTGGGCTCCTCAGCAGCGGGGGCGGGGGCAGCAGCAGCAGCGGGGGCGGCCTCCTTCTTGGGCTTCTCCTCCTTCTTGGGGGGAGTGTACTTGATGCACTCCTCGACGAAGACGGGGCTGGGGACAACCGCCTTGAAGGCAGGCTGGTTGACGATGGTCTTGTACCAACGGGTCACGGCAGGGTGCTCATCACGGACCTTCTTGTCCACGACGGTAGCGAAGGGACGAGTGAGGAGGGAGGCGACGAAGAGATCAGCCAGGGTGATGCGCTCGCCAACGAGGTAGGTGTTGGCAGTGAGGTAGGTGTTCAGGACACCGAGGTTCTTCAGGGCAGCCTTGGAGGCATCCTCGACGTTCTTCTTGTTGTAGGCATCGAGACCCATGAGGGGACGGTACCAGCCAGCCATACGGGGGAGGATCTCCGTGTTGCCGAAGGACAGCCAGCGGAGGATGGAAGCATAGTCCTGCTTGGTCTTGCCCAGGAGGGTGGTCTTCTCGTTCTGGGAGGTGACTAGAAGGAACAATTAGCAAAGAATGTTCCGAGGCGTAGCCATGACAACGTCAATTGAACGAGATGGAAAAATTTTGCCCGAAAGCGGGGTAGGTCCCAGAAAATTTCAGAGGTTAGGTTATCAACAGTGTAGTTCTGCCAGGGATAACTAGTTTATAATAAAATTGCTCATCATTGAAGGGGAGAGGGGGGAGACATCGACAATGCAATGGAAAGAAGATAATATAGTAACGTACCGTAGACAGCGATGGCAATGGCCTCAGACAGAGTGTAGCCGTTGGCACCCTCGAAGGCGGGGATCTTGCCAACGGGGTTGATTCTGGTGTACTCGGCGGACTTGTTGAAGTCAGCGTTGGCGTTGGCCTGGGTCTCAACCAGCTCCAGGTCCACGTCGTTCGCCTTAGCGGCGACGAGGATGGAGATGGTGCGAGGGTTGTCCTGCAAGAAAGATGCATGTTAGCTGATGTCCCAACGACCCCGCGATGACGAGAAAGTCGACTCTGCGCGCAGAGAAGAACAAAAAACACCAAGCGTAGATGGAATGGAGGAAGGAGAACATACAGGGAGACCGTAGAGCTTTCCGAAAGCCATTGTGAAGATGGGATGAGGAGGATGAAGAGGAGAGGAAGAGGAAAAAGGAGGAGGGGAGAAAGACGGTTGGAAATTTTGTGCGAATCAGACGGCGTCGGCATCGGAGGAACTAATTGCTCCCCGGTCACGTGGACGCCGCCCCGAAAAACCTCAGGATCGCCCGACACGGAAGAGCTGCCCATGCAATTGCGCCCCGGTTGACACGCCCTGGTTACGATCCATCATGGCATCCATGGCATCCACCACCCCCAATTGCATCCGCCATGCGATGCAGTCTCTCCGCCGCTCCTCGCCCTGGCGCTCCGCCCTCCTCCGCTCCTCTATCCCCGCCGTTTCTTCCCCGAGTCTCACCTCTCGCGGCTATGCTACCGAAGTGATTCCCGCTGCGCCCGAAATCGACTTCTCCCAGTTCAACGCTCGTCCGGCCCGGATTGTTCCCGCCTCTCCCGCTTACTTTTCCGGTAGCCCAAAATTCATCGACCACCTGTTGCACCTCGAACACATTCTTGCAAAATATGCCTCGTTACCGACGGTAGCTCCGGCCGACGCTCCCCGGATGGCCTGGTTCAAGCTCCCCCAGTTCCGTGACTTCGTCGGCGAGCCGGTGCCCACCAAGAAGTACAAGAACCTAGTGAAGATTCTGCAGCGCCTGAACCGGATTGACCCGGCCCTCGTCCCCGACGAGGTGCGCGAGACGCTGAAGAGCTTCCTCCGTCCCGGTAACCCGTACGGAAACAAGCCGGCGCCGGCGACGGTGGACGAAATGGGCCGGGCCCGTGGAAAGGGAAAGCGCAAGACTTCGTCCGCTGTGGTTCATCTTGTCGAGGGAGAGGGAGAGGTGATGATCAACGGAAAGACCCTGGCGGAGGCGTTCCCTCGGCTGCATGACCGGGAGAGTGCGACCTGGCCGCTGCGGTGTACCTCCCGGCTGGACAAGTACAATGTGTGGGCGAACGTCCGCGGTGGAGGTGTGACTGGACAGGCTGAGGCGGTGACTTTGGCGCTGGCGCGAGCATTGTTGGTTCACGAGCCTGCATTGAAGCCGGTGCTGCGGAAAGGTACGTGTTATGTGGTGACGCAGTGGGCTTTCTTCCGGAATATCATTGCTAACTCCTTTTCCAGCTGGTGTTATCACGGTGGATGCCCGTCGCGTGGAGAGAAAGAAACCCGGCCATGTCAAGGCGCGCAAGATGCCCACCTGGGTCAAACGGTGAAGTCGTGTATGTCTATCTGGTTGGTTTCGGGATTTCCCGTCTACGATTGCTTCCCTTTCTTTTTGGATCTACATGCATATGGAGTACTGTGTTTCATTCCTCCCCTTTTTTCTTTCTTCCTCCTTCACCCCTGTATTATCAATTTGTCTTGCGATGAAAATATATCCTATGTTGCAAACAATCCCCGCATCGGGTCGTTTCAGTTTGGAGACACGAGCCTCGGTGATGAGCATGTAACTATTGGCGTTTAATCCATCCGATGAATGGGACTATTGGACATGTGCTGTCCAGACAGTTGCACGAAGTCACGCTCCACGCATCTGCATTGGCCAAAGCCATTAAAGAATGACGAAGGACAAGGAGGAGCAAAAAGAAACGATCCTTTGTCCCACCCTTCCGAAAAAACGAAGAACAACACGGAATAGCACTGCTGGATGTGGCTGAACCGATCCCCTGCGCAGCATCCTTTTTTGACTTCTCCTTACCTCATGCCTTGTGTACTATGTGGATATATGCAGGTGCATGAACGATCGAAGTGCTGAGACTGCAGATCTGACCTCGAGTCCACGCCACAACTGTTAGCGCAGCCGGTGAGATATGGACCGGCTTATTTTGGACGGGGTTACACAGTTGAGCATGCTGGGCAGTAGTTCATCATTCTATAACGTGGCGCTGAGTCCACAGTGTCCCGACTTGGCAGTGTTTGTGTTCATGCTCGTCTGGCGACTAACGACCATTCACCAGCTTTCCACCGAGGTCGGATACAGGTCTTCGGTAGATCCTGTGCAGCAGTCGACGAATAGAGAGGGTTGCACTAGGGAATGTAGTTACACAGGGTCTAAAAGGGACTTTTCGGACAAAGTGCGTGGCCATTCGAGACATTCCTTTCAGTTTCTGTCCTGTGGGGTTTCCCCAAAGTGGCCACAATAGCTGGTAAGAGATGAACGGGCTTGGATCAGCTTTGCATGGGGCGAGGTCATATGCAGGACGCTCTGGAGTTTGTTTGTGCCTATGGTGTCTCCTGTCCAGAGGTCAAGTGATAGACTGATAGCTAGTACTCAAGTGGATGGGTGTGTTATGCCTGAAAAATCGACAATCGGCCACGAGGGAACAAGCATGAGCATTTCGGGTGTCGCTACCGCCGGGGGGACGAGTTTTTATACGGCGCTGTGGTGTGTAACTGAAAAAGGGCCTAACGTTGGTCTACAGTTATTCACGTTAGTGACAACAGGACAATGCGAGGGTACATCGAGAGTACATCGAGAGTACATCGAGAGTACATGGAGTATACCAAAAACAGCACTGAAACAACAACATTGTGTATGCATGCTGTGGTGTAGTCCCAAATGACCACCGAAGGAACTACATTGGGATTCTTACGACATTGAACAGGGACGATCTGATCTGGCATCGTCACAGTCAGATCAGTTGAGAATCATCCATTTTACTGGATAGAAGCCAGCCGGATGGCGGAATCTAATTCATTGGCGGATGGCTGCGATGAGTGGCGTACGTAGTCGCTGCTAGGGGCGCATAGGGACCAATGGGCTTCCTCTTCTTTGAAAAGAAAAAGGAACAGATTGTCCTGCTTGTCATTCCTAGTTTGGTAAAGAAACCCCGGGATGGCGTGCAATAAAGTGAGTCCGTGTATACACTGATGGGAGAAGACCCGTTGAGCCCGAGAGCGATCATCTCAAGGGACCTCGAATGCAACCCTAGATCGACCTAGGTACCGTGACCAGAGCCCCGGGTACGTACTAATTATACGCCTCATGGTCCTCATGTTCGTGTGTAGAATGGATAGATCTGCTGCATACATATCCACAAGCCAACACGAGGGATGGTCCATGGCCTTGGGGAATCGCGAGAGGATCTTTCTCTCACGTTCGGCAGAAGCAATTTCCCCTTCTCGGACCAAGGCTCTTAGCGTGAGGCTGACGCGCCTCATTGTGTCTTCCTTGGAAATCCCGCAGCTCTCTCCCCGGTGAAGGCCACGAGAATGCCCACAGACGGGGCATTCCAAATTGTGGATTCGATCGGAATGAAGGACTGAACCCCCTCTTGCGTTAGCTCTGGTAGTGCATGGACCGGACTGTGAACCATCGCGCGGGGATCGTCGGATGTGACGGACTCTTGGGACGGTAGTCACCAATGGTGGTCGCCAGGAGGTCTTTTCAGCCCGGTGGGGTTTCAGTAGTCTGGCTGATGTGATAGTGGATGGATAGATACCACGCCAGTGTCTCCCCTTTCCACTCTGCTGGGAAAAGGTCGTGCGCAGGGGGAGGCTGTGGATCGGGACCCATTGTTCGTATCCTCTTTTTGACGCCTTCTGTTTCTGCCGTTTCGAGTTGATGGATAGCACCGCGACTAATATATTTTCTAGGGATCGAATGGCCGCGCTAATTTCACTGAGAGGAACTAGACGTACCGGAGCGACTTACGCGGTCGAGGGAATGAACTAATATAGTCGAGATTGGATTCATATACTCGGACCCGGGTGACCGGCACTCTGGTTCGACAGCGGTTCTTCCCGCATTCCATCCACTGTACGCATCACCTACTAACTAGCTAGGTAGATACTGTGCTCCTCCTGATGCGAGGATGGTTCGAGTGAATAGGCTTTCGGAAACCCACTCGGGGGAACCAGGGAAATGGAACCACCATCTCCAGACCCCGAGGATTGACGGCGGGAATGCCTGAAAGCGGTATAAAGCCATCCATTCCCATGGCACTGGGCAGGGAACCTTATCGGTGATGCCCGGACTTCCTCCACTTAGTTATCCCTTTCACTGGTTTCTTCTTATTATTTAACTATTTGCCTAGGTAACAATACTCATCTCTGTACTCCGTACTTCAGCCGATCAGCTCCACTAGCCCATTAGCTCATTAGCCCACTAGCCCACTAGCTGAAAGGATTTTCCCCTTTGGTCATTCTTTGGTCATCCTTCGGCTGTGCATCGGATGTATGTACATATGTCGGGTACTCGATGGATCCGGCCGCATGTCATGGCCCTAACTCATAGTCTCATCCTAATAATATTAACATTCTCCTGCGGCGGATCGCTTCCGTCCGGGCACCATCTGACCCAGCCGAGTGGTCTAACTTTTACCAAAAGTAAATCTGAGAGAGAAGATTTGGAATATGCATGCACTGGAAGCAGAGGAGCCCTGTGGTCAGATGTTATTCACCGCACCGACATGCTGGTGAGGACGGATCAGGAGAAGTATGAAACAAAACATAAACATCCTCGCTCGACAAAGGAGCCCAACTCCATAGAAGACCCCAGACCGCAAGAAGGACTAGGAGACAACAGACAGATAAAGAAACCCACGCCCCATTAGTGCTGTGTTTCCCCTCCCTTCGTGCAAGTTCTGGTGGATGTTCTTTGCTTTTTTAATCTCTAGCCTTAATATGGCTGACTATTTTTTATTTATTCCTTTATTTATTATTAACATCCTGATTTTGATTTCTTTTTCCGCATCACAAGTCGAATTTGATTTTTGATCTTCTTCCCACACACGGTCTCTCTGACAGGCTGGCGATCATCCACCAGCGCCCCAGTGTGTCGGGTCCCTCTCACGCTGTCTCTCTCTCTCTCTCCCCCCTGGAGATCTTCCCATCGTCGTCTAGACTACGGACCGGATTGATCACTAGATCACTATAAATACGGGAATTCCATCCATGGCTGGTCCCCCACTTCTCCCCCCATCCTGGTGTTTCATTGTGTTGTGTCCCAATAAGAAGTTTGGGCTGCAACTCGGAGAGTAAGACTCCCATTACCCTTGATGCCATTAGTCCGACTCGCTTGCTTTATTTGATTGTCGGTTTGATCTTTTCCCCCCTAAAATTTGCCCTGCCGTCATCGTCCCGCCTGCGAGTATATTATAAGCTTTGTTGCGTCCTCCTTTCTTCCCTGTCCGTTGTTCGCCCATACTTCGGATCTCTTCTTTTTCCAGTCTACCTCGACTTCTAAACACGCTTATTGCCTCATTTCTTCTCTCGGTAGGTTTCTGACGGAGTGCGCACTATCCTGGATCACTCCTGATTCTCGACTGTCTCCCAAATAACCTAATAGCTGATGATTTACCGCAGATCCGTCCATCGCGTGCCCGGGGTAGCTTAGTTCTAGAAAGAACTCCGAGCGTTTTAGCTTAAATCCCAATCCCTGCGCGGACCCGAGAGATCATCCCTCAGGTAACAGGCGAACCCCTACGACAGAGGGAAACAATCAACATTCAACCGTCCAATCTACCCCCCTCTCCGCCAAGCTGGAATCCTACGCGAGCCCGCCGCTGTCCCCTCCGGCACCTTGGTCCCTCGACCTCGATCCCACCTGTAGGGGCTCTGTGTGGAACCGGCTGGGTGGGATGGATGGCGATCCCCGGGGCATGAAGCAGCATTATGATCAGCCTCGCCTTGCGACACGCGCGGGAATGGCCCGTCGTACAGCGTCTAGGCCCTCCGGCCCTTCAGAGCGGTTCAGAGGCTCCGGTAGACAGCCCCCAACACGTGGAGATGGACGGTCCCGAATGCCTGCCTATGTGGACTATGGCTACACAGACACCTCCTTCCCGGATGCCTCGTTACAGGGGGACGACTTGCACCACTATGCGCCGGCCTTGCGCGACCTGCCGCGCCAGCAACAGCAAGTCCAGCAGCCGTTCGCGCCGTATGATTCCGAGATGGTGTACAACATCAATCAGCAAGCCCCGACGCAAACCCCGTACGAGGTCGTGTCATCCTACGGTTCGGCACGGCAGTCTGCAGCGATGGACGCCCTATCCAGTCAATTTGCCGTTCCACAATATTTCCCTCCCAATGACCCGACGGCCGTCGGGGATCCGGCCCTGGGCTCGTCCTACTTGAACTCGCACTTGTCTCTGTCCGCTTATAACCAGCCGGGTCCCATTGGCCGCTCGACCGCAACACAGCCCTTTCCCGCAACCATGGCCGAGTTGCCCCCAGGGGGTACTGCCGCACGTATGGAGCCTGCTTCGCCATCGCATCCGCAGCAACAGGAACCGCCATCGTCCTCGCAGGAGGTGGCCGAACCGGCGAACCTAAGCGAAGCCTATGGCCAGTTCCAGCGCGCCTTACGCGGGACCTTTGATCAGACGCGCACCGGCCGATTGGTAGAGGCTAGTCGATCGCTCTTGGAAATCTCCGAGTGGCTTGTGACTAATGCGCGGGATCTTGGTAAGCCCTCCCTCGTTTGCTTTTCTTACCCACTCTTTTCTTTCCCCTGCGTAATTAGGTGCATAGCATCCATGATTTAGAGGGCGCTTGCATGCATGATGACTCCATAATGTGGCCAAAACCCGAGCAATCAGACCCAAGCTAATTTCTGGGGCCCATGCGTTCTAGGTATACTTCGGGATGACCAGGTCTCTCATTCCGATCGATTGCAGCTCTGGAACGACTTCAATATCTGCTGGCTGGCAGTGTGTCAGAAACAGAAGGACATGACAGAGGAGATACTCCAGACGGGCCGACAACCGCCGCATACGAGTCTACTGAGCGTCGATGTGATGGAGAATTTGGGAAAAGAGCTGATCCAGCTGTGCGATCGGATCGAACAACATGGGTTGGTCGATTACGAAATGGGGGTCTGGGAAGAGGAGATCCTTTCCGGTAGGACGATCCCTTGCTCTGATGGTCGCACATCCTTGAAGTTTCTCTTCACTAACGTACTGATGGCTTCGGCCCTGTTCAGTCCTGGGTCAGTGTCTCGATCTCATGGAGAGCCGACCAGACACCCTTCGCGGACACACCACAACAACCACTTCCCGGCCATGACGAGATCGCGCGTCCTCGTACTTTTGTGTGTGGGGAGACTAGCTGATTTTCAGTCCGGCCTAATGCAGGAGACTAAATTAGTCGCCCTGCCGAGGGGATCCCCATGACGAAACTAGCGACTGCTAGGTCGTCCACCTGGTTTCTGCCATGCTTCCCGCGTCCGGGTTTTACTTCCGGACTCTATCATTATTGATTGGAGTTATACGAGTGGCTTGTGGCTGGAACTCAACGGAGGGTCACTGTGCTTGTACACTCCCAGTCCACTATTTGGCACGATAGCTGCGGGCCATCGGGACCACTCTCCCCACAATGCTGACAATTATTCCTGCACGCCTCCGATTCCGTGCAGCAAGTCTGCCTTGATGGTGGTCGAAGATCCATCCGCGTGGGCGCTGGATTCGGGGACCATGCTTCCAACCAGGCAGAAGCAAACATACCCCGAACTCCCCGATCCGCATCCGGTTGGCCACCAACAAGATGGAGGTTGTGTGTACCTGATCTCAGCCGCAGATGCTATGCCCCTAGGTATTTGAGACGCCATGCTTGCCCGTGAGGATGATGCGTTAAGGTTTGATCAGCGCCGCTACCGCGAGCATCTAATTGAAGGGAATACCGTGGATTCCTAGTCTACCACCTGCTCCCAATCTAGTTGGGTTGATCGTCTGATGATGTTCAGTCATCGGCTGATCCATTGATCCATCGATCGGAAGGTTAGTGTTGTGTCTGGGGGTGGTTTGTTGGAAGACTTTCACCTCTATTCTTTTCTCTCAAGCCTTTTCTCTCGTTCTACTACATATAGATTAAAGAGGAGGACCCCTGACAATCTTAAAGGAGACCAAAAAATTAGCCTCTTTATATACTAGCCGATTCTATTTTCTAGACTATAACAGTGTGATGCTCAAGTTGTCCACCGCCTGACTGACAGGACAATCCTGCGAGTATATGCCTTTCTAGCCACTAATGGAAAGAAACAGTATAGAACGCGAACCCCAGAATGGCCCCTATGATCCTTATAGACAAAGCAGCCAGCTTCTCGCAGGCTCGAAAGCCTTAGAGCTCAATATGGATGAGTGACCGTCTGGTCCAACGGCTTATCAATCACGGAGCAGATGTCCACCTCATCACTGTTCTGGAACCAAAAGTGTCGCGCTACAATGCCACGACGCTCTCTCGTGACTTTGTTCTGGTATTCCTAGATCACCATCATCATCAAAGCAAAAATATAACAACACTAGCCCCGCGCGTAGGCCCTCCACAAGTAAGTTATTCCCTATAGTCATGAGACGTCAAATATTCAGTACATTAACCATACAAAATCTAACGGTCTAGGATAATTGAGAGGACATGAAATGATAGTCTTGGTATTCCAGGCAATTTAGGGCATCGGAAATCCCGTGATGGCGGAAAAGGAACGCAGACCCGTTCAACATCCGCCCGACAATGCGGGGAAGCAACCCATCTTCAGGACACATCGGATCAATCACTACCGCGACAGATCACCACCAGCCCAATTCCTGCATACAGGGACACAGATATCCCCAGAACATGTTATCTCCGACCCGCATCTGACGTACATGTCATGGATTCGTCTCCACAGGCGCCACCATCGGCATCCGACATGCCTCAGCGGAAAATGCGGAAAGTCACTCGTGCATGCGATGCCTGCAAGTTCAAGAAAAAAGCCTGCACGGGAACTCTGCCCTGTGGCCCATGCGTGAGGCGAAAGGTTGACTGTACCTATAATACGACTTATCACCGCGGCGTCGCCGTCAGCCCTCCGCCATCCTTTCCGCGGAATAACACGCCTTCTTCCATTGATGAGGCCCCTGCGCAGGAGGATGCGACAGAAGAGCCTCTTCCATCGAGGGCGTCTGCCGAAGTGACGGAACAGTATTGGGGGCCAACATCCGCACATTCATTCCTCGGTCGCGCCGTCCGTGATCTCCCCACTACCACCTCCAATGTGATTGCGAGCCGAGAAGACCGGAGCCGCGCATCAGCAACCTCGATTTTCCTTTACGGGGACCGCGTCGCCCCCGAGGTGCAGCTCGAGGATTTCAAGTGGCCCGACAGAGCCACAGCGGACGGTCTGATCCGTCGATACTTTGAGTTTGCGGCGCCGACCTACAGGATCCTTCATCAGCCGACGGTGGAGGCAATTGTCCGTCGGCTATACCAAAGCAACATCCACGCGGAAAGCGGAACATCGCTCTTGACACAATCGGGGGAATCGACGGCATCTCGGGCCATAGTGCTACTGGCCTTTAGTACAGCAAGTATGTTCCAAGTAGATCCCGAAGGGCGCATGCGAGATGCAGATGAAGGAGGTTGGCGGGTCAGCGAGCTCTATTATATCAAGGCAGACCAGTTGCTCTCTCACGAGACGGGGGCTCCTAGTCTTGAATCGGCCCAGGCGCGCTTTCTTATGGTGCTTTATCTTGTGAGCTCGTCCAGAGCCCACAAAGCCTGGTTCACCCTGGGCACTGCCATTCAGCTGATAATGGCGCTTGGGTTCCACAGCCGACGCCCGAGACGAGATCCGGATAGTGTTGATTTGATCCAACGCGAATGCCAACGGCGCATCCTGTGGTGCTCATATACCCTCGACAAGTATTTGAGTGTGATTCTGGGGCGGCCTAGGCTATGGCACGACGAAGACTTGGACGAGGAACTGCCGGCAAGAGTTAATGATCAGGACTTGACGTCCACAACGATTCAACCGCCTAAACGTGACTGCATGATGGACGCTCCGGTATTCCATGCACTATTAGCACGCATCCTGGCACAGGCGGCGAAGGAGCCGTACGTGGTCTCAGGAATCTCCAGTCGTGAAGAGATCAGCACCATCCAAACACTGTGCGCGAGAGTAGCACAGTGGCAAGCCGAGCTTCCCCCGTTTCTATCCGGAATTATCCACCCCAGCAGTCTGATTCCCAGTTTCCAGCGCCAGTTGACGGTCCTCCAGCTGGCGCGATACCATGTCTTGATGTTCATTACTCGTCCGTTGCTACTACGAAACTACGGGCAGATTTGGCCGGATTGCGACCCCAGCTACCGTCAATATCTCAGTGTCTGCCTCACTGCTGCCCGCGACGCCATTGAGCTGATTCTGACCTTTGTGCGCGAGAACCAGCTCTTTCACGCCTTCTGGTACTCGCAGTACATCGCATTCAATGCCTTGTCAATTATCTATATCTATCTAATCCAGGTCCAACGCGGTCGCATCTTTCACATCAGTCACAACTATGCGCCGACTAGTCCTGACAACCGCTCATCGTCTCTCGATGAAGCGATGTTATATTGTCTTTCCGAGACAGCCCAGTACCACCTCGCAGATGCTACTGTCCGGAACGCTCCGTCGTGGAAATACAGTGCCATCTTGCAAGGTCTTCGACGCGAACTTGAGCGCCTGGGCCTAAGGCTACACTCTGACGGGTCACCTCATGCGCCGGAAGGTTCAAATCAAATAGGAACAGAGCAGGACGGGCAAGACCCTTCGCACCCAAGTTACAGAGAGGTACGAGGTTTGGACACGGTTAACGCGGAGAATCCACTGGCCGTATCATCGGGGACGCCATATCAGTTTCCAGGACCACAAAGAGCAAGCGAGCAGTTTTTGGTTGATCCGCGGACAGAATCTCTCTTTGACCTCTTTGCCATGGACAAAGATTTGATGTTGGACTTCTGGCCTCAGCTGGATACATTGCCTATTAGTATGACTCCCTCCACTGGATCCTGAAGGAAAGCGACTGATACCATAATCTAGCATACTTCTGATAGGCTCATGCAGCTATCAACTTGTATATATTTATGCTTCTAAAGCAAATGAAGTACATAATTTGGCTTTGTCATCAGACCTGAGATGCTGCGTTCATGACATGCCAAACGTTTCAAAGCATTCACCCGATTTTACCATATATATTTATACCGGATCTCACCATCTTCGTCTTCCTGTCTGCGCGCCTTAACATTCAACCAGTGCAGATAAGCGGCCAAAGCAGTCGACAAGACAATACCACCAGCTGCAAATGACGATAGCGTGATTCCTCCAGGCCGATACTGCGGCGCATCAGCAGAGGGGAAGAAATAAGAACCATAGATATTGGAGGAATTCCCAAAGAGGTTGACCAGGGCATAGACGATAGCTCGCTTAGTCCGCGTGCGCGGAATGGTACTGGCAATCCAGGCCTGAACCACGTTGAACGCAGAATACGACCCGGAACACATTAGAAACATTCCGACATATCGCACTGCCGTGGAATGCGAGGAGATAACCATCACATTCCCCACTATGTCAATGCAAAGTGGCCAGACGATCAGAATCGCGCGGTGATTGGTACGGTTTGCAATAAACGAGTTCCCCAAGGCCGTGATGAACCCAAAGACATAGACAGGCGCGGTGATTAGCAAGGTTACGATGTTATTGAAGCCAAGCGTTTGGACAATTGTCTTTGCACTGTCAGCCATGGGGCACTAGGCGTCTGCGCCGGTGACTTACCGGGAAGAAATAGGTCCATGTCTGCGACGTAAGCTGGCAGATTTGAATCAGGATCAACATCCAGGCTTTAACGTCCGTCACGGCTTCAATAAGACCCTCTTTGATGGATCCATTCTCGTCCACTTCATTGTTCGCCTCGCGGGCCAGCCGCCATTCGGCGAAGCGCTGCTCCTGCTCTGTCAGCCACTTGCGCTGGCCGGAGCGAGGGAAGTCAGGCAAGAGGAAGACGGCGAGGAGCCCGGCCACCATTGTGCCTGCGCCTTCGATGATAAAGAGCCATCTATACAGTGAGCATTGCTGTTAGCCAGGCCATGGAGGAAATCCCATTGCGGACGGAGAGATTGGCTGACCTCCAACCGGCTAGTCCTCCCTTGCCGTCGAGCCCGCTCAGAATGCCTGCGGCGATCAAACCACCGAAGCCGTTGGCTATGGTGTTCCCGCAGTATACGAGGGCTACGCGGACGGCAATCTCAGAGGGCTTGTACCAGGAACTGATGAGGAGTCTGTTCACGATCGTTAGTGCATCGTTCTGCATATGGGTACAGATACAGTGGCAACGTACAGGGCACCGGGGAAGAAAGGAGATTCCGCGAAGCCGAGAAATACACGCACGCAGACGATCCCGGCAAAGTTCTGCACTGCCGCCATGCACATCGAGATCCCGCCCCAGACGAAGATTGCGGCGGGGATGTAGAGCGACGGTTTGATGCGGGTTAACACGATGTTACTCGGCACTTGGCCCAGGAGGTACCCGACAAACTTGCATGTGTTAGGAGATGTCCTGACTCTATGCGGTTGAGGCAGCAGCGTACCATGATTGCCACCGCTGTCTGATATTGCGAGTCGGAGAGACCCAGGTCCTCCTGTAACCCGCCCAGCCGGGCATTTGCAATGTTGGAGCGGTCGAGGATGTTGAATATAAAGAGGAGGAATAGAGAGGAGATCAGGTGGAGGTCGATCTTGCGGACCACTGTATCACGCGTTAGAGACCGTGTCTTTTCTTCTGGGAGATGATTGTACAGCGCTTTTCGAGGGCTTGGGTGTCTCTTTCGGAGAGACCTTCGAAAGCCTCATCTAGAGGGTCGGGTTGTTTCGTGGGCTCCACGTGGATGGAGGATACTTTGGATACGCTCTCTGCCATGGTTCTGACAGAATCTCGAGTAGGCGTCTAGCAGAAGACGAGGAGATCCTTCCCCAATGAGCCTGATTTATAATAGGGCTGGCGTTCTCCGGATTCCCCAGACCTCCTCAACGTCGGATTCCAACTTGACCCCGCTGCACTCGAGGGTGAGGCTAACGCATGAAATCGTCGGTCCACATTCCGTACTGGGCATTCTGCTTGAATATGATCCAAGCATTGCAGGGGAAAAGCTTCGGCGTACCAAGCTTTGCCAATCTGAGCTTGGTGTTAACCCCCGCCACCGGTTATCAAACACTCTGGATGCAGAAATCCGACTACGATTCCCGGCCGGCATATCCGTACGAAAGAGATCCGGGGAAAATCCGGGTGCCCCGCGACGAGCTTCATTCCATAGACGCCAAGTGGGCCGTTATGATGCACTTGTCTGATGATCGTGCTTTTCCGCTGCCGCTTTTCCGCCTCATGTCGGAGCAGGGATTGTATCTAAAGGTATGCGTTGTTCCCACATAGCCCGCTCCGTCAATCTTGCTCTCCCATAGTCAGGCACCTCTTCAGTCACACTCACACACAATGTCTCTTCCTTCTCACTTCACGCTCAATACGGGCGCCAAGATCCCTGCCGTGGGATTCGGAACATGGCAGGCCAAACCGCTGGAGGTCGAGAACGCCGTGGAGGTAGCCTTGAAGCAGGGATATCGTCATATCGACTGCGCTGCCATCTATCGCAACGAGACTGAAGTCGGCAATGGCATTCGCAAGTCCGGCGTACCCCGCGAGGAGATCTTCATCACCGGGAAGCTATGGAACACCAAGCATGCTCCTGAAGACGTGGAGCCGGCTCTGAACAAGACACTGAAGGACTTGGGAGTGGACTATCTTGACCTGTACCTCATGCACTGGCCATGGTAAGGACTTTCAGCTTACTACTTTCACCAAACGGAACTAAACTGCCCCTGACAGTGCATTCAAACCCGGCGACAAGTGGTTCCCCCTGAACGACGACGGCGTGTTCGAGCTCGCCGATGTGGACTACATCACCACCTACAAGGCTATGGAGAAGCTTCTGGCGACCGGGAAAGTGCGCGCGATTGGGGTCTCCAACTTCAACGTCCGCCGACTGGAGGAGCTCCTCAGCCAGGTGACGGTTGTTCCGGCCGCCAACCAAATCGAAGCCCACCCATACCTCCAGCAACCCGATCTTCTCAAGTTCTGCCAGAGCAAGGGTATCGTGGTTGAGGCGTATTCGCCTCTCGGGAACAACCAGACGGGTGAGCCACGGACGGTTGATGACCCTCTGGTGCACACGGTGGCGGCTCAACTGGGTATGGATCCTGGCCCACTGTTGGCCAGCTGGGGAGTCCAACGCGGCACAGTCGTTCTGTCCAAGAGTGTGACGCCTTCTCGCATTGCGGCGAATCTCCAGGTCCAACGCTTGCCCGAGGATGCGTATGGTGCGCTGACCTCTCTTGAGCGCCACAAGCGGTTCAACTTCCCTGCTTTTTGGGGCTATGACATTTTCGAGGAGGTTGGGGAGGAGGCTGTTCGCAAGGCTGCGCTGGAGGCGGCGCCTGTCAATAAGACCAAGTTTACTGTATAGATGATAGAGCAATGAATTCTGTGGCATCGCACATGTTATCTTTGTTACTGGAGACACATTGTATAGAATAAGGACTAGTCATTGCCATGATACAGGTACGACATATGAGAATAGTCATATGAGCACTATGTTCTGGGGTCATTGCGATCGAGAATTCAAGACCGGCTATGTCTTCTCCCCAGAATGGAGCAGTTAGGGCAGGCGGAAATGTGGGTGGGGAAATCCGCTCGATTCCCCGCATCACGGCGGAAAAGCGAGTCGGAGTACATCGACGGCGTCGGAAGCCAGAGTGGAAATTGTACATTCTCCATTGCTTGGATCGTGGGGAAGAAGTCTCACAGATGGCGGGGTTCATTCGAAATGTCTGCCTGGAGGGTGGAGGCTGTCGGAAGAAGTTCTATATCCGAGTGGCCATCAGTGTCGCATCATTGAATGCACCCATATATATAGCCACTTGCACTCATCTTCAGGTCTCAACCCTAAGCCAAAGGTACGGTCTCCAGAGGTCCAGATGATGGCTTCATCAACTCTCGTTCTACCGGCGACATCGCCGGATTTGCACAAAACCACTACGCCCATCACTACCACAGCACCTGTCGTTGAAGATGACGAGCAATCAATCCACACAATCGATGATCTTCTACGACATCGAGCCTCCGGAAGCAAAGGCAACGATCCCATCGTTGCGTATCCATCGCATGGCTCCGAATATACTTACTACACCCCTCAACAGGTAAGACGGGTGTGCGCCGTCTTATCTACATTATAATACTGATCACATCGCAGCTACACGCCCTAGTCGAAGCGGCCTCCATCGAGTACTCTCGAGTCATCCCACAGCGTCGCACATCCACCGACCCTGTACAGGTCGTCGGTTTACTTGGCCCTTCAGACTTTGAGTACCTGATCACACTTCTCGCCGTGTCTCGACTAGGGCACACCGTGCTTCTGCTGTCGACTCGTATCGCCGAGGATGCCTACGTCAGTCTCGTCGAAGTCACAAAAGCCTCGTTCCTCATCTCTTATCCGAGTTTCGACACCATAGCCCAGAACGTCAGCAAACGGACCGGAATCGTCTTGCAGCCGGTCCTAGCTCGCGAGAACTACATCCAGCACTTGGAGAGCGGTTCCAGGCTGCCTCCAGCTCAATTAGACGGCGCTATTGAAGCCAAACACATTACCTGGGTTATCCATTCCAGTGGCTCCACCGGCCATCCGAAGCCCATCTATCAGACCCATTCCGGAGCCCTGAAGAACTACGCAAACAACTTCGGCCTCAAGGGCTTCATCACCTTGCCTCTTTTCCACGCGCATGGAATCAGCTGTCTCTTCCGCGCCATGCACTCGCAGAAGTTGATCTACATGTACAATGCTGACCTTCCCTTAACGAGCTCCAACCTTCTTACCACACTCCGGGATCATCCGGAAATCGAGGTCCTCTATGCAGTTCCCTATGGGCTGAAGCTACTCTGTGAGACGGAAGAGGGTCTGAAAAAGCTAGCCCAGCTGGAGCTGGTGATGTTCGGGGGCTCGTCATGCCCCAAGCCCATTGGGGACAAGCTGGTCCAAAATGGGGTCCGCCTGGTCTCCCACTACGGTACCACCGAGACCGGCCAGCTGATGACCTCCTTCCGGGACCGCTCAGACCTTGACTGGGATTACGTCCGTCCAGGGCCGTCACTCCTGCCATACCTGCGCTGGGAGGAGCATATGCCTGGGATCTATGAGCTGTGTGTGTTAGAAGGCTGGCCGTCCAAGGTCGCAAGCAACCGTCCCGACAACTCCTACGCTACCAAGGACCTCTTTGAAAAACACCCAACCACACCGAATGCGTGGCGATACTACGCACGACTGGATGATACCTTGGTGCTGGAGAATGGCGAAAAGGCCAACCCCCTGGTGATTGAGGGTGTGGCACGAAACCATTCCATCATCGGCGAAGCGATCGCGTTCGGCGCCAATCGGCCACGGCTGGGCCTGTTTCTGATCCGGGCTGAAGGCTGTACATCCATGTCGGATGAGGAGGTCATCGAGACGGTGTATCCGGCCATTGAGAAATGCAATGCCGAATCACCTGGATATGCCTATATTTCCAAGGACATGATTCGCGTCCTGCCTTCGGATACGGAGTATCGGAAGACTGATAAAGGTACTGTCATCCGTTCGGCTTTTTACCGCGACTTCCAAGAGCACATCAACCAGGTGTATGATAAGGAAGATGCCAGCGGGGACCAAGTCCTGGAGGGAGCAGAGTTGATCGCCTATTTGCGGAAGAGCCTCCTCGAGGTGGCTTCCATCGAGCCTTTGGCCCTCGAAGACGACACTGATATCTTCAGCTTGGGCGTGGACAGTCTGCAGTCAATTCGCCTGCGAAGCATCATACTGAAAACGCTCGATCTGGGTGGTCAAAAGCTTTCGCAGAACTTCGTCTTCGAGTACCCTTCCTTGGAGGGCATGGCCAAGGCGCTGACCAGGCTGCGCCTGGGACAGGCTCCTCACGAGGAAGAGCCAGTCGAGGAAAGAATGGCCAGGTTGATTGAGAAGTACAGCTACAACTTCAAGACGCATGAGGTCGTTAACCGTGGAGATGATGGTGAGCACATCATTGTGACCGGGAGTACAGGCTCTCTGGGCGCCCACATTGTGGCTCAGTTAGTCCATTTGCATCACGTCCGCACGATATACTGTCTCGTCCGGGCTGATTCGCCCCTATCTGCTATTCAGCGGGTACGCCAGAGTTTACGGGCTCGAGGCTTAGCCCACAGCATCAGCCCAGCAGAAGAACGAAAGATTGTGGCTCTGCCGGCTGATCTTTCCAACCCAGTCAGGCTAGGCCTTGACGAAACGGTCTATCAGGATATCGTGAAGTCATTGACGGCCGTCATTCACTGTGCTTGGTCAGTCAACTTCAACTGGGCTCTGGAAAGCTTTGAGCAGAGTTGTATCGCTGGCACCCGCAACTTACTCGATGTCTGTCTGGATGCTCGAGGACCTCGCCCGGCTAACTTTGCATTCTGCTCGTCTGTCAGCACTGTTGCGCGTACACCCGGAAGCTGGGTATCCGAAGAACTTCCACAGTCACTCAGTCATGCACAGGGTATGGGCTATGCTCAGTCGAAGTTGGTTACCGAGCATGTAGTCAACCGTGCTCGCAAGCATACCGGCATGAACGCCCGCGTTCTCCGTGTAGGACAGATCGTGGCCGACACTCAGCATGGAATCTGGAACGCCACAGAAGCCATTCCCATGATCTTCCAAACAGCAGAGACGATCAAGGCTCTCCCCCAATTGGAGGACATTCTGTCCTGGACTCCAGTGGATGTCGTGGCGACTAGTGTGATCGATCTCACCTTGGCCACTGATGCAGCCGACGTAATGAACGTCACCAGCCCAACTCTCCATCACTGGACGCGTGACCTTCTTCCCTTGTTGAAGCAAGCAGGACTGGAATTCGAAGAAGTTCCCAAGCGAGAGTGGCTACGTCGGCTGCGGAGCTCCAATCCAGACCCAGATATCAACCCTCCGATTAAGCTGGTAGAGTTCTTCGCGAGCAAATACGATAACGACGAGCCCAGTCGTGTGCTTCTTTACGACACTAAGAAGGCACAGTCCGCAGCTCCAGCTCTTCGTCAGCTCACGGGGCTAAGCCAGGAATTCGTGACCCGGTTTGTGAACTATTTCCGCCAGCAATGCTGGTCCTCATCATCTGTGACGGCCATGAAGCCGCGCGAAGTCATCTTCCTTACGGGGCCCTGCGGCTGCGGCAAGAGCACCGCGGCGCGGCATCTCGCCGAGAGATTCGGCATTCCCACCATTGAGGGTGACGACCTGCATTCATATAGCTCTCGACAAAAGATGGCGAACAACGTCCCGCTCACGGACGAAGACCGCTGGGACTGGTTTGCGCATATCCGAGGAGCTGTGATGGACCGCTTGCAACACACGGATGCCCCCGTCCTTGCAGTCACCTGCTCTGCGCTTCGGACGGTCTATCGGGATGAATTGCGCCGGTTGACCGGGCTGCTGGAGTACCCAGTAAATGTGAACTTTTTGCTGCTGGAGATTACGAAGGATAATCGGGAAGGACTGAGAGAGCGCATCCTCGCTCGCTCAGCCAAGGAGGCGCACTACATGAAGTCGGCCATGGTGGACTCGCAACTGGATATTTTGGAGCCTCCTTCTTGGGCAGAGAGTGATGTTGTGATTTTGGATGCTTCGCAGGACAAGGCGCAGGTGTTGCATGAGGTGGAGGAGTTTGTACGGAAGATTGAGTCTTAGTTCTTCTAGCTTCGTCAATAGATGTCAATTTAGACTGTCTTTTCATGAATCAAACATGGTCATACATCAAGCACCAGACTCCTCCTACCTGTACAGCCTATCATACCGTAATGGAGACTGTCGGGATTCTTCGGTCATCGCCACTTCATAGACTGAAAAATCATGTCGGAAACGAACGCTCCCGCAACCCTTTGCCAAGGAAGCATCCGTGGGGGCTGAGAGGGCCTGGTTCAGTCAAGCATCAAGCGTTAAGCTTGTCGGGGATTCTTCTCCGGAAGAATCAGCGGATATGTGGCGGAAAAGCGGCGGAAATGAGGGCTTGGGTCGCGCCAAGCCAGCCACAAAGACGGATTCCTGGAGTATGTCGGTTTAGCTTATCCTGTGCTAATCGCCAAATGCCGGTTCGAATGCCGTTGTCCTGTTCTGGTTGTGAAGCTGTGATGCTGTAATGTTACTATAGTCGGAGTGGTCGTGATGTATACTTGTATACTACAACGCGTGCAAAACCTCATGTTCCACCATATTCCAGCATAGGATACCTCCTCTCAAAGCACCGGATTGTATATCCCATTTCCATCACCAACCAGCACGAGATCAACGCAATCTATACCCCGCAACATCGTTCGGACCCTCTCCGCACCCCAGATTAGCTAGCTCTTGGCTTCTTGGCTTGTGGGACTAAATCAGACGAAACGAGCCCAGCATGCGCGAGTTCCCCGTGGGGTTGGCGGGTGGCATACGAGGCCCTGTCACGCCGTCTTGCTTTTCCGCCGATCCAGAGGAGGAAGTGTATAAAGTGTCTGTCTGGTCTCGAGACTCTCCTCCCGCTCGATCGACATCTTGTTGTGCCATCTGGTGAGCTTAAGCTGTCTTTCATCATGCCAGCGTCGCGCCCTCCCTCCAGCCAGCACGGTGACCGTGACCTCGGCCTGGTGGACGAGAAGATCAAGGACCCCGACCATGTGGAGAGTGTGTCCCATGTCGTCACCATTGATAACATCCAGGTCCTTGGCCTTGGACCGGACGATGCGGATTTCTACCTGAACTTTTCTCCGGAGAAGAGGAAGCAAATGCTATGGAAGGTATCGACTGCACCTCCTCGTGGGTTTTCTGTACCATGCTAAATCCCGCGCATAGATCGATATTCGCCTGGTGCCGATGCTCGCGGTGCTGTATTTGATCTCCCATATCGACCGCGCAAACATCGGAAATGCGAAAATCGAAGGTCTCCTCGACGACCTGGGCCTCGACGGGATCCAGTACAACATCGCGCTCAGCATCTTCTTCATCCCCTACGTGCTGCTGGGTGTGTACTCCCACAGAAAGTCAATGCAATCGAGAAGCTGACATTCCCCAGAGGTCCCAAGTAACATGCTCCTCAAGACCTTCTCCCGGCCATCCATCTACCTCGGCATCCTCATCACCTGCTGGGGCATCATTATGACCCTGACGGGTGTCGTGCAGAACTTCGCTGGCCTGATGGTGACGCGGGTGCTCCTTGGCGTCTTTGAGTAAGCCCTACCTATACTCAAAAAGCGCGTTAAACCCGACTAACCCCCACCAGAGCCGGCTTCTTCCCCGGCGCCGTCTACCTCTGCACATTCTGGTACATGCCCAAGGAGCTCTCCACGCGCATTGCCTTCTTCTACTGCGCCAGCGCGCTCTCCGGCGCCTTCTCCGGCCTGCTCGCCGCCGGGATCGCCAAGATGGACGGCGTGGGCGGCCAGGCCGGCTGGCGCTGGATCTTCCTGCTCGAGGGCATCGTCACCGTCATGCTGGGCGTGATGTGTTTCTTCTGTCTGATCGACTCGCCGAAGCGGTCGGGCGCCTGGCTCGACGCCGACGAGATCCGCTACCTCGAGCTGCAGCACTTCATCAAAGAAGGCGGCCACTTCAAGGAGGAGAAGAAGTCGCGCGTCGCGTGGAAGGATCTCTTCGCCGTCTTCACCAACTGGCGCATGTACCTCCTCGCATACATCCTGCTCTGCCAGTCGTCCTTTTCCTACGGTTCGTCCCTGCCCCCTCACCCTTCCAACCCCGTCCCATCATGGAAAGCACCGCCTGACTCTAACTCACCAGGAACCAAATTCACCCTCCCCACCATCACCAAGGCAATGGGCTTCACCAACACCAACGCGCAGCTGATGACCGTCCCGCCGTATGTGGCCGGCGCCGTCTCCGCGCTGTTCTTCTCCAAGCTGTCTGACCGCTTCTACTGGCGCTTCCCGTTCGTCGCGGCGCCGCTCTGTCTCGTCGTGATCGGCTACGCAGTAATCATCTCCTTCCACGGCGCGCTCGAGGAAAACGTCGGCCCGGCCTTCTTCGCCGTCATTCTCACCTGTATGGGCATCTACCCCATCCACCCGGCCACGACCTCGTGGTCCGCCAACAACCTCACCCCGTCCAGCCACCGCGCCATCGGCCTGGCCTTTAACATCTGCATCGGGAATATCGGGGGCATCATCGGCAGCTACATGTATCTCGACCGCGAGGAGCCGCAGTACTACACCGGCTTTGGGCTGTCGCTCGCCTTTGGCGGGACCGGTTTGCTGGCTGCGGCTGTCTTGGAGTTGTCGTATGTTTGGGGGAATAAGCGCAAGGCGAGGATGTCGGAGAGCGAGGTGCGCGAGACGTACAGTGATGAGGAGTTGTTGTCTATGGGGCATAAGTCGCCTTTGTTCAAGTATACTTTGTGATGGGAAAGGATGGGTTGGGTTGGGGTAGTAATTTGATATTTCTGGTTCTTTGGAGTCGATTGATATAATAATGTAGGGCTCCGTGGTCACATGCGGGAACGCCTTTCCCTCAAACGTAAGCAGTAGGCTCACATGGATAGACTTGAAGCCCCAGGTTCTGTTGCCAGTTTCTGTTGCTGGTGAGCTACTGCACAGCATTCAGTGCCCGTGATACCTACCAGACCCAACTAGTGTATCACACCCACCTTCGCCCGTCTAGACTCCATGTCAGAACAGCTCAGTCTTCAGTCTTTGCATAAGATAGGTACAGGTCCATATGTGCATCTGCATGCAAGGTCATGTCCATAAGTAACCTCTAGACTACAGGTCATCACGCTATCATAATCATAATGGTCAAAACACAGGGGGTAACTGGGTAATGCAAGCACAAGAATCGAAACAAGGTCATCCATCACTAGATTTGGTCTGCAACGAGTCAGCTTCATCATAACAGTACCTGGGTGAGCGAGAAGAAACATACTCAACGTCATGCTGATGCTAACATCCGTATTCTCCACCATCTCTGTAAACTCCTCGAAGCTGATCTTGCCATCGCGGTCTTTGTCCGCCTCCATGATGGTCTTGTCGACGATCTGCTGCAGCTGCACGTCCTTGAGATTGTTGCCGACCATCATCTTCAACACGATGAACAGCTCGCCGTTGGAGATGTATCCGTCGCGATCGATATCGTAGACTTTGAACGCGAAACGCAGCTTTTCTTCCTTGTTTCCTTTCGAGCTGAAGGCGGAGAGACCCGAGACGAATTCCTGAAAGTCGACGTCGCCGCCACCGTCTTCATCGAAGATGGCGATCATTCTGACCCTGTATAAGCATGTTTCTTCTGTCGTTCAACCAGCCGATGTCCACGTACCGTGTCGCGAGAGGGTTGGAGGAGACTTGGGGGAGGGAGAGGAACTCGTCGCGATCGATCGTGCCGGAGCTATCCTGTTGGAGAGGTGAACAAAGCAATCCAGAGCGGCGGAGATAAGCCACAACCCTACCTTATCCAGCTTCATGAATCGCTTCCGAAGTCGGTCGACTTCATCTCGGTCGACTACTGCGCATCAGTGGAGTCAACAGGAGACCGGTGCGGTTGACTCACAGTTGGAGGCGGAGACGATGGTATCGAAGAGTTGGGAGGTACCGACGGAGCCGCGACGGCGACGGGCATCATAAAGAGCGGCGTTGTTCGGTTCGGAAGAGGCGTCCATGATGGTGGAGGGCGGCAGTTAATGGAGATGTAAACAGTCTAGGAGGATGGGGAGGATGACGGAGCCGCATTTGATATCAGAGGGCCCCGCACTAACCCGAAACGGACAGGCAAGCGAACCCCTGAGGCCGTGCGCGGCTCCAAAACAGGCCACCGCCGGGGGACATTGCAACGTCAACTCATCCGCCCGCCTGGTGACTACGAGATTTCGGCCGTCATTATCTCCCCCATTTCATCGGCGGTCATCATAAAAATACGTCTACGTGATCTCGCATGACCAGGCCTATCGTTTGATACTACTTTTACCCCCCTTCGCCCATGGTCGTTGCCCTTTTCGCGCCCCAAAAGTTCGCATGACTAGGTACGGGGGTATGGGGAGGACGCGCCCAAAAAAGCTCACCTCCAAGGCCTCGATCCCTATCGTTCGGGAACATGAGATCGACATCATCGACGACGAGGTCCAGAATGCCCTCCAACAGATCGAAACTGGTGTTGAGAAGGCGGAAGAATCGGTGAGTGTTGTTGCCGTTGCCACCCCTGTCCATATCACGTGATATCATCGCGAACCTCACCCCTTGGTGAAAATTTCGCACGCGGCCCTGAGCCCCCCAACCAACGCCTGGCTAACCCGGTTTTTTGTAGGAATTCCATCTGCAAGCCGCCATAAGTGCCTCGGCGCAGGGGAAAATAAATGAAGCTCACATTCCCACTCCGGAGACCGTCCTCAGTAACCTGCGATATGACAAGCTCTATCCACCCACCTTCTCACAACCCGCAACGTACATCCGCTTCTCCTCCACTGTGGAGGACTGCTGCGGATGTCCGTATAACATGACCGAGGAAGATGACGTCTTCCTCAAGATCATGAACCAGAAGCGGGACCCTGCCAATCGCTGCACGGAAGACCAGTTCGAAGAGGTCATGAACTTTTTCGAGGAGACGGCGCAGACAAAACAACCGTTTGCTGCCGTAGATAATCCTCCAGTTTTGAGCTTTGACGACATGCAGGAGTCCATGGATGCAGCCGTAGAGGAGTCTGTAAAGCGATTCGCCAAGGACGTATATGAGCATTGGAAGTCGCGAAGGATCACCACCGGGAACCGATCATTGATGCCAAGTCTCAAGGTAAATCTCTCCTCTTGCGGAGAATTGTCCACAATGGGCAGCAAAGCGCGGATGTCGCTAACCGGTTTGTATAGTTCGAGACGGGACAAGACACCGATGATTCCGACCCATATGTTTGCTTCCGTAGGCGCGAGGTCCGGCAGATCCGGAAGACTCGTGGCAGAGATGCTCAGAGTGCCGAAAAGTTGAGGCGGCTGAGGAAGGAGCTCGAAGATGCCCGGCAACTTGTCGCCTTGGTGCGCCAGCGTGAGTTGGCTCGAAAGGAGATGCTTGCCATTGAGCGGCAGGTCTTCTTGCAACGGTCCGAAGTCAAGGAGATGAAGAGAAAACTCAACATCAAGGACGACGACGAGGACCTCATCAACCAGAAGGTAAGCTTCGTCCATGATGACTGTGATCCTTGCCCAATGCTGATCTCAAATGTAGCCAAAGAAGAAGCCGACAGAGGCACCTGCTGCCCAGCGGCCAGCGGCCACTCAACTGCGTATGCCCCAAAAGCCGGGTACGCAGACCACGGAGGATTTGCAGCTGTTGGAAGATGTGCAGGCGGAGAAGGAAAACGCCATCCTGCGCGACATCAAGCAGAACATCACCAAGCATATCAACTGGAACGAGGGCTATGTGGACTTCACGAGAGCACCGCTCTCACCCTCGCCCGAAAGAACGTTCGAGGGTGCCTTCCGGCCGGCAATCACGACACAATTGCCAACACCTCCCTCGTCGGATTCATCCGAAAACATGCTGGACTCAGCTTTAGATACCACCAGTGCACTCTCGCTCCGAGACAAGCTAGCCTCTCACGCCATGGACTTGAGCGATGACACCAGCCGAATGCCCTCATTTAGAAGACGTATTGGACGGGGCGGTCGTCTGTGGATCGATCGTCGGAACCTCGCGTCGCGTTGTAAAGTGGAAATGGATCCGTGGAAGGCCGATCGGTTCAAGTATGATCAAGAGGATTCGGACGAGGAGCTCCAATATGAGCGCGATCAGTTCGACATCCAGATCATGCAACATCGGGCCATCATGGCGGCCAAGGCTCGAGATCAAGCGGCCGCGGCTGCCCAAGCCCATGCGCAGGCGCAGGCGGCACAAGCCACGGCACAGGCGCAAGCGCTGCGACGATTGCAGGCCGACCAAACGACCAATAATCCACCGTCCAATGCGGGGCAGACAATGGGGTCTAACCCCGGGCCTGGTGCCGTTGCCCCAACCGCTGAGACCTAGGCTGGCCTTTGTTCTTCTCTCCTCTGATGCTCTTGCGATTTTGTCGATTTCCCACACATATTTTGCATTTGGCAGGCGTTTTTGATTTTTGTCGGTAACACCCACTGTATTTTTATTGCCCCGACGCCTTTGCGATGACTCTTTTCTTTTCTTCATCCATACCCTGAACCTTTCGAGGTATCTCAGAAAATTCAGGATTGTGTCGCAGATGGATGGCTTTCACGACATGAGCCTGAGGTTATGCGAGCGTTAGTGTACATATTGCTCTTTTCGTCCTCTTTTTCTCTCTCTCTCAAAAAACCGATCAGTCATAGACTCATGTATGGATAGCGAAGCTATGAAGTTAGCAACGAAAGCAACACTTAATACCGATTGTTACATTGAAAACACTGTTTCTGAAAATTGAAGAGTAAAGAAAATAGCACAGGCCTGTCATGAAAGCAGTTCAAGTCTTGGGTGCTTTCGATTTCCTGGATTCAGGGCTGTCGCCGTTGGCAGCCCGCTTGGCTGCAGGAGCACTGGCGGTCTCCTCGAGCACGGAGCCAAGACGGTGGAGGATTTCTTTCTCACCAATGCGGACTTGAACGGCCATTTTGCGGCGATGGGTGGATTCGTCCACAAACCCTGAGCTAACTTCGGATGAGTTGAGCTGGGAAAGGATCTCCTGGTCTTGAGCGATCGTTGTCGCGTACTGAGCCTGTTTAAGCTGAATAGCTTTGGCAAGGATAGTCGCCTCTGCTTCGGCGAAGGCGGGCTTCGGGGGCTTGTTCTTGGATCTTTGCTGGGCCAATTGCTCCGGGGAGAGGGTCAGCGTGCGGAGAAGAATGATCAGCTCATCCGGAAGGATGTCTGTCAATTGATCATCTTCCTGAGATGGTCTAGGAATGACATAGCCGTCATCGAGAAGTTCCAACTCGTCGAGGAACTCAAGCTATAAACATGGTCAGCGGGTGGGGTGATGGGAAAGAATAATGAGAGGGAGGTATACCGGAGGCTGCTTCTCGGGGTCAGAGTCTGAAAGGCCAGCAGCCTTGCAGATCACATCCAGTGACACCTCGACGACATCGTAAGGGGCGTAGTTGTCCGTCACGTAGCCATAGCGTCTCAGGAGGTCGGCGCGCGGAATTTCTCCGTAGTCATTGAAGATCTCCTCGCCCTTTGCGATCGGTTTGATAGCCTTCATCACGAGGGCATTTTCGTCTTGGAAGAGACGTGCCTAGGAAGGAAACATTAGTATGGAATCATTGCAAGTTGGGTAGGAAGGACACTCACGTTATTTCGGTCTGCGTCCGCATTGAGCAGATCCGCCAGTGGGACCATGCCCTTGGACAGCTGCTCCTCTTCCTCATCGGTCATATAGCCACCCTCTCCGTCGCCCTCTTCGTCCTCATCTTCAGGCTTCTCGATATCGAATGCATAGGCCATGATGAGTGACCCCATGGTGTGAGCCAGGTGGAGGAGAGCCTGGGTGCCAGCGTCGCCATCGTAGGAGGGAAGACCGTCGACCGGAGGGAAGAGAGAAGGATGGGCTCGTACAATGGGGGCGATCATCTCCAGAATGGACTCATCGGCACCTTGGCGGCCAATTTTGTCAATGACGGCACTCCCCTGGAGCTCGAGCAGCTCGGAGGGGGTCCAGAACATGAGGGTGTCGAATTTTCGGGGAAGGACCTTGAAGTACGCGGCCCACGTGGACTGGTCTCCCAGGAGATATTCGTACATCATGACGAGCATGAGAGACAACCACGGTCCGAGCTCTTCCAGATCCTGGGAGAGCAAGTCCTTCAGCTTGGAATTCTGGGTGGAGAGAACGAGATCGCGCGGGATGGTGAAAAGTTCTTCATTTTCAGGGATATCGGTTTGAGCAACTGCAGGTCGGATAGACGGGTGTTAGAAATGGCGATGAGGCCTATGGATGGGGTTTTGCTTTTTTTTGACCGTTTCTTTTTTTGTGCGCAGGTATGCAAAGCACAAAAGCCACGGAAGACGAAATTCTCGGCTGGCGGGGGAAGAACGTACCAACACCTCGTCCAGCACCCTGGGATCGAAGATCTGCCACAGCGATATTGGGATTGATATTGACGCCAGGTTTTTCAGACAGCCAGGAGATGAAATCGTCGGACTGACGCTGGAAGTTGGGAGAATCTGGGAAGTGGGTGGAGGAGGACATGGTTGGGGAGAGGAAGAGGAGAGGATAGGCGAGGGGAGGATGAGGGAACAGAAGAAAGAGAGGAGAAGAGGAGGATAGATAGACGGATATGAGGAATAAGCCGGACGAAGAGAGAGACGGGGGCGTGGCGGAGGGGAGGAGAGAGGATGAAGCGAAAGCTGTGTGGGAGGGGAAGTAGTAGAAGGTTGTATACTGTCGGATAAACGCAACGGCGGATTTGCCGTTCCCTACACTTCGGGCCTCCACCAATCGATAACGCTGCTGATAAAAAACCGTAGGATTCTTTGGTGCCCCTCCCACTCCGAACTTTGGTACATCCAGATCTTCTTCATCCCGACTGACTCTGGTCCAGTTCGAAGATCAAGAGAGACAAAGGAATATACTCCCAAGAAAAGACCAGAAATTGTACCGTCGCAATGCTCGCCATCGGTCTGGAAGGCTCCGCCAACAAGCTCGGCGTGGGCATCATGTTGCATCCCGATGATGGCAGCTCCCCGCAGGTCCTCGCCAATGTCCGGCATACCTATGTCTCTCCTCCTGGCGAGGGATTTCTCCCCAAGGATACCGCCCGACATCATCGCGCCTGGGTAGTCAGACTGGTCAAGCGAACCCTCCGGGAAGCCCGAATTTCCCCCGATGATGTCGACTGCATCTGTTTCACCCAAGGGCCCGGCATGGGTGCCCCTCTTCAGAGCGTGGCGGTGGCCGCGCGCATGTTGAGTCTGCTCTGGAAGAAACCCCTGGTGGGAGTGAACCATTGCGTTGGACGTAATTAGCCCCTATCTATCCCATTCACCCCTTGTCGAATCGACCGGACACTAACCAAACGCTTGGACGGCGGCGCCTATGCACAGACATCGAAATGGGCCGATTGATCACGGGCTCGACCAACCCGGTCGTACTATACGTCTCCGGAGGAAACACGCAGGTCATCGCGTACAGTTCACAACGATACCGCATCTTCGGTGAAACCCTCGATATCGCGGTGGGCAACTGTCTGGACCGCTTTGCCCGAACCCTTCACATCTCCAACGATCCCGCGCCCGGGTACAATATCGAACAGTTGGCCAAGAAGGGGAAGCAGCTGGTGGAACTGCCCTACACCGTCAAGGGCATGGATTGTTCGTTCTCGGGAATGCTTGCGGCTATCGACGCCCTTGCCGCATCGTACGGTCTAGATGGCCCCCAGAGCGACGAGGCTGTCGATGCGAATAGTCCGGCCGCAGTGGAGGCAGGAGAGAATGGAAAACCGACTCGTGCCGACCTATGCTTTTCCCTCCAGGAGACAATCTTCTCCATGTTGGTGGAAATCACGGAACGGGCGATGGCGCACGTCGGCTCGAAGGAGGTACTGATTGTCGGGGGTGTCGGGTGCAACGAACGGTTGCAAGAGATGATGGGCATTATGGCTCGAGATCGCGGGGGAAGTGTCCATGCCACGGATGAGCGGTTCTGCATTGACAATGGCATTATGATCGCACAAGCCGGGCTGTTGGCGTACAAAACGGGATTCCGTACGCCGCTCAAGGAGTCCGCCTGTACACAGCGGTTCCGGACGGACGCTGTGTTTGTGAAATGGCGAGATTGATTACTATTAATTGACGAATTTAATGAATTTAGAAGCAATACCAGTCATGATAGATTGACGAGTTATGGCTCAGAACGTGAGGTTTGATTGGGTCTTCCGACATATCAAGTCACACCAGGCATAATTCAAAAACTATATGCATAAGACACAGTCATGTGATGAATAGAATGATAGAATCTGAACTCCCAGTGCTCTAAAGAGACACTAAATGACAATCAATGCCCAACGCCTAATATCAGTAGTTCATCAATACTGAAGTGAGGTACGTGCTCTCACGACGCCATGCGCCCTGGTGCTCTGTACTGCTACATGTAGCCTGAGCGATGGTGATGCTGGGACAATGTCCTTCCCAAGAAGGAGTTGCTGCGTCCTGACCCGATGCCGACGTGGGCATAAGAAACGGTTCATCGGAAGCTCTACTTCCGCGAGTGCAGAAGGCTGTTGCATAGAACATTCAACACAGCTTCCGAAACAAGCGGGAATGGTCGCCGCTGACCAGGGCAGGATATGCAATGCCAAAGAATACCTAGTTATGATGTGTGCTATGCTAATCTGTGATATCCCCCGTTGGCTTGTACAGGATCGTCGTTACATACTGGACATGCGCGTCAATTCAGGGTTTCGATGTATTAAAGGGGCAGACTGTCAGCTTACCTTTCGTTTGTATCGGGTAGTCACGCTGGTAGCAAGGACCCCGTTCTTGATGCTACTGGTGGCAAGATGGTTCAAGACGGTGTGGTTGGGATAATTCAGAACGCTGCTGTCATCCTTCATCGGAGTTGTCCCGTTCAAGATTGACTTTCCTAAGAAGAGGGGCAGGCTAGGAGGCGTAGGCGCATCACCAAAGACATTGACAGCTTTCTGATATGCCGGGCTCTCTTGGTTCTCGTCTTCTCTATCCAAATCAATCAGGAATTGCGGGATGATACCGCGGAAATCTCCCGCTGGGACCTCCTCCGGTTGTTCTTCCTGCTCGTCTACCGAGGACCCAACCTGATCAGAAACAGGAGTCGGAAGGTCTTGAGGCGGGCGGACTCCGGGAGGAAAAGCGCCTTGGGATGCCTTTTCGCTATCCCGTCGAGAGCGACCAACGTCGTCTGCGCTAATCTCGATATAGTTGACTAAGTGGTTGGTGAAATCCACAGCGGTAGGAAGACTATCTGACGCGCGCATTTCGCCATCGACGATGAACTTCAGGTGATGCGTTCCGGGACGAAGGTTTAATACGGTGGACATGATGTTGGGGTTGTTCTCGCTGTGCAGGAAACAGTTAGTGGATATATAGCCATTTCGAGCTTACGGATTGGATATACCTTCGATGCAGGCGATATTTCTTTTCCCAGTTCACAAAAGTTCCTGTCACATAAACTTTCTCGCCCGGAGCAGTCCATTCGATCAAGGTCGGGATCGGCTTGCCGACTCCACTGCTTGTATACGGCTGAAGTTCATCCAGTATCTCTTCTTCGTCAATGGCATCCCTGCCGGATTTTGAGTGTCGCTGACCCGAATGCTCGTCCAACACCCGATCCGATGGGGGCGATCCCAAAGATGAGTCCTCAGGTCCGATAATCGGCGACCCGGGCGTAGCAGTAGCATCGCCGATGGGAAGCGGCAAGCGTGGCGGACGTTGTAGATGCGCTGATGCACTGTAGTAGGTATTGTGAGGGGGCGCCGAGGGCGCTACGGTTGAATAGCCTTCACGCCTCGCGGCGGCGCGAGGACCCGGGACCTGGACGGGGTTGGAAGGGTCCGGCGAGGAAGCATCCCGGAAAGACTTGGTCGTATCGGGAGCATGGTGTGTAGGAGAATCGGTCACGTTGCGGGATTGGAGGCGTTGCTGGGCGGGTGGTTGGTTGTCGCAAGCGGGGTGTCCGGTTGCCGTCTCCTTCGAGGCCGAGGGGTCAACGGCGGTGGCTTTGGAGGAGGCATTCACGGAGGGACGACGAGCGACTTTCTTATCCCCCGCGGAGGCCGGATGGGCTGAGTGACCCGAGGGAATGTCTCCGGCAGGGCCCTTGGAAGGATTGTTGCCCATCTGCAATCGCAAAAGGATGAGATTGAGGGGAGGGGAGAGGAAGAGAGATTTCTAGAGCGGCAGCATCAGAGGGCCAGCCTCGAATTGGGGGATCTGGTCGTAGGTGATGCAGACGATGCAGAAGCAACTGCGAACGATATAGAAGGCTAATCGGATCTGATAGAGTTGCTAGACAACGCGATTGATGGTGATGATGTCGATGGGGGGTTCACTTTCCCTTTAGGCAGGTAGGGTTTAGGGTTGGTTCTGCCTGACATTTCCGCCTTGGGCTCTCTAGAAACTTGACAGTCTTCGTTGTCAATGGGGAAAGATCTTCGAGGGCATTAGGTATGCTATTAAATGAGAATTTGTATGCAGAATTAGTTTCGAACAATCCAGGTGAATATTATACTTGCTCCGACTGTCTGGAGTCTCTCTTATTACATACTTGTGGTCTCCGTCATGTGACCTCCTCTTCCCGATCGAGAAGGATCGCGCGATTCCTCCATCAACCTTCCAAGGGCTTGTATACATTCTCTCTATACCATCACCACCAGATGCATGCTCCTCTGGACCCTCCCGGAACACATCAAACGGAATGGATTCGGTTACTGCCGTCGCCAAGGTAGCGCTGTACTACCCCCTCTACTACCTATTCCTCGGTCTTCTCCGAATCCTCTCCTTCACGTTTCAGATCCTACTCACCCCCGTCACGATCGTCGGACGGGTCGGTCTGTACTTCATCCTCTTACCGTGGAGGTTTTTGGTGAAATTCCAGGTACGAAACCCTGCGCAACGCAGCCTCAATTGCTTCGGAGACGCCTAGTGCTGACCTGGGTAGGCGATTTTGACGTTCTTGGCGGTCGCATCAGTGATCGGTATCATCACGGGAGTGATATTGCATTTGACCACGGATACTATTGTCGAATTGATACACAAAATGATTGTCACGCCTTCTCCGGCGTTTAGCGCCGATTACTACGTCGCGGAGTCCGCTTCGGGTGACGCTGGATCCTCCAGTGACTATGAATTCCGACGAAAAGGTCGAGAACTGTTCCCTCGTGGGGGTTCGATTTCCCCGATCTTGGAAGAGGAAGAAGAAATATAACCACCCAATCTTTGTACACTGCACCCTTCTGTATAGACATTGATCTTGGCGGATACTTCATCCGCTCTGGACCCTGGATTTCTCCAGAGATTTAGCCGTCGTTCAGGGTCCACTTCTTATCGGGCTGCATCCACGGTTGGCCTCGTCTCTTCGTCATCATCATTCTGGCGGCATTTTTTATGTGATGCACGTGGGTCATTCCGGATCATCCTACTAATTTCTTATCCTCCTGGCGATCGTCTCTCTCCTCTTTTCTTCCATTCTTCCCATCCCTTGGTCTTTGTCCCTTTTCTTCTCCTCATCCTTCCATCGATCGAGTCTCTACCCCACTCCGTCTCATCGGAGTACGGATTGGCAGAGGCTGCGAACACCGCTTACATACATCGGAATGTCCTGGCCCCGGCCTTGTTCGCGCCTGCGCACTTTACTGCTGGCAGTATCGCTCGCGTTCATCCTCGCCTGGTCCCTCTCACAACGGCATCAATCCCCCATACTGCGACCGCATAACATCATCACCGACCCCACGGCCGACCGACATTCTTTCTCGTCATCGTCATCCTCCTTCTCTGCCGCTCCCTCTGGCGCCGCTACGACAAATGGGGAATCCCACGCAGCCGCCAGTGGCACACACCTCGCCGGCCACATTAAATTCTGGAGCAAGTTCCAGCCCCTACTAGCCAAATATGAGCCCAAATGCGAACCACCCTTGCGACTGGGCAACGCCGCTTCCGTCCGGTTTGAACAGGCCGACCCCAACGATCGCGCCGATCTTCTCGACATGTACCCGGAGGATGTGGAAACGATGCGGACGGCGCACCGCGGCTTCGTCGAGGATCTCCGAGCACAATCTCTCGACCTGCACTACCTGCCCAACACCCGCGGACTGGTTTCCACCGCCGGCGGGTCCTACCTCCCCGTGCTCGTGATCTCGCTCCGCATGCTTCGTCAGACCGGCTCCGAGCTCCCCGTGGAGGTCTTCCTCGCCAATGACGATGAATACGAGCCCTACATCTGCGACGTGGTGCTCCCGTCCCTGAACGCGCGCTGCGTGGTGCTCTCGCACATCTTCGACGCCGTGCCCAAGACCGCTGAGATCCAAAAGTACCAGTTCAAGCTCTTTGCTATGCTCTTCTCCTCTTTCGAGGAAATCCTCTTCCTCGACGCCGATGCCTTCCCGCTTCTCCCCCCGGAAACCCTCTTCACCAGCGAGCCCTTCCGCTCAAAACACATGGTCACCTGGCCCGACTTCTGGGCCACCACGGTCTCGCCCTACTACTACGAGATCGCCGCGCAGCCCGACCCGGCCGCCCAGTCCATTCGGCAGTCCAGCGAGTCCGGCGAGCTCCTCCTCTCCAAGAAAACCCACACCAAATCGCTCCTGCTCAGCACCTACTACAACTTTTGGGGCCCGGACTTCTACTACCCACTGCTATCGCAGGGCGCCGCCGGCGAAGGCGACAAGGAGACCTTTGTCGCTGCCGCCCTGGCCCTCGGCGAGCCCTACTACCAGGTCACCGAGCCCATCTGCGCCATCGGCCACGGCACCAAGGGCGGGCTCGCCGGCTCCGCCATGGTGCAGTTCGATCCCACCGAGGACTACGCCCTCACGCAGCAGGGCGAGTGGCGCGTGCTGGGCACCTCCAAGGCCGCGCCCCCGCGTGCCTTCTTCATCCACGCCAACTTCCCCAAGTTCAACCCGGCCACCGTCTTCAACAAGGACCAATCCGTCACACCGGCCTTTGCCGACGATGGCAGCTATACCCGCGCCTGGACCATCCCCGAGGAGGTCATCCAGGACTTTGGCGTGGATGTGGAGCGCCGCTTCTGGAAGGAGATCGTCTGGACGGCCTGTGAGCTCGAGCACAAGTTTGATTCGTGGAAGGGCCAGAAGGGCATCTGCAAGCAGGCGAAGCGGTATTGGACCGCCATGTTTGCGGGTAAGAGGAGTTGAGTTTGATTCTCTAGTATGTTGCGACTGGCTCGCTGCATTCGTGTCGAATTGAAAGTGGTATTAGCTTATCCCTGGAGAGAAAGCTCCGTCGATGACTACGACCAGGACGCTCATGCTTACGACCCGATGCACGATACCTTCACCCTTGTATATACCCTGTACGTGTACATAGTTCTATCAAATCTATAGTTACAAGATGCATCTTGGCGCGTCACATAATCGTACATACACCTCATTTATTCAAGAGGATCAAGTGTGGATGACCAGTCCCCGACCCTCGGCTTTCTCAACGGCATCGGCGAACAGCTCTTTGCAGCGCACTCGGCTACCCAGCCGGGCACACAGCAAGAACGCCCCGCTCAGCTTCCGATGCAGACTGTAGGTCTCTTCGGGCGGGGGCGCTAATCGCTCGCGGATCATTACCGGGATGAGGTCGCGCACACGGTCTGTAATGGTCTGGTTGTTGAAGTCGTACACGTCCGGCGAGGAGGTCCGGAATGGCTCGGCAAGCGTGAGGATGGAGGTGACGTGGGCGTCGACCATAGCGGGAGATTCATGGCCGGTCAGGTAGCCCAGGTCGATGGAAAGACGGTGACAGGCATCGCGGTCGTTGTGGGAGGCCGCAACGAGCGTGCTCACGTATTTGGTGATGAATTCGACGGGGTACTCGCGTGAGGCACCGAAGTCGAGTAGTTCTAAACGATTGGTCTGTGCGTTATACAAAAAGTTGGTCCAGTTGGGGTCGGTCTGCATGTAGTGGAATTCGATGATCTCGCGGAGACAGAGTCGCAGAATCTGCGTGCCGATCCAGTCGCGTTGTTCTTGCGTGAAGTTCTGAATCTTCGTCACCGCGACGCCTTCCAACCGCTCCATGGTCAGGACATGCCGGCCGGACGCTTCGGGGATAATTTCGGGCACGAGGAAGACCGGGTCGTCGCGGAGGAGTTCACGGAAACGGTGACCGCACTCGGCCTCGCGAGTGTAGTCACATTCCCAGCCCAGTTCGGTGCGAGCATTAGCGATGGTTTTGTCGAGGAATAGGCCGCGGGGGAGGAGGCGCGACGCGGTGAGGAGGATGGAGAGGTTGTTGAGGTCGGAGTCGATGGAGTCGGCGACACCGGGGTATTGGACTTTGACGGCGACGGGCTGGCCAGTTCGCTTCAGCACTGCGCCGTGCACCTGGCCGATGGAAGCAGCTGCCATGGGGACGTCGTCGAAGGAGGAGAAGAGATCGCGCCAGTCGGGGCCGAGATTGTCGGCGAGCACCTTGTCACGTTGCGAAGCCGGCATGTAGTCCGCGCGATCTTGTACTCGCTGAAGTACTTGTTGAATGGGTTCGGGCAGCATTTTCGAGTCTACCAAGAGTTAGCGCGGGGATGTTGAATGCTTCCTAGCTGGAACTACCTTGGAAGCTCATCATCTGACCCAGTTTGAGCGCAGCCCCGCGCATCTTCGAGAGCTTCGCGACGAGACGCTCCATGTTCGCGGGGCTGAACATGATCGAGCTAGCGGGATCGGACTGGCTTCCTGTTACCCGTCGTAAACCCTCTCCAACCGCACCGAAGGCCATTGACGTCGCAAGGCCCCCATACTGCCATAATCTGCCGATGCGCGAAGACGGGACGCGCGACTCCATCATCTTATAGGTATCCTCATTCGTCGGGGTCTATTGCATGGGTCAATGACTGTTCACCGACATCGTAGAACCAAACGCTGACGCACCCCATGTATAGAAGTGGGGACCACCTCCTCCGCAATGAGATTTCCAAGATCTTCAGCTTCCTTCTTCTGCGATTGGTCCTCCGCCACAGAAATGGTAGCCTTCTCGACGGGCTTCGTTGGTTGTCCACCAGCCCTCTGTTCCACCGCAGGCTTCCTAGACAGGACTTTGGCAACCCTGGGGCTGTGGAATATCTGATTCATCACCTCCTCGGGGAGTTCTTCCTCGGCCTCCTTCTCCGGTTTGACAGGTGAGTGAAATACATCGGCGTTGATTTCACTGTCGACCCCAACTTGCGTAGTGTTGGCCGTCTTCGGCAGTTTGACCCGCGGGAGTCCAGACAGGTCTGGACTCGACGTCTGCGAAGGTTTGTAGTATACGTCCTGCTGTCGGCTGACATCCACCTCACTGGACACTTCACCGCCATTGTGTGTGGCGGCCGTCGCAGGAATCTGGAACTCGGCCTGTCGCTGGGCGTGACGCGCCTGGTCAGGCGACAAGGCGGCCGCCGCAGGGGGCTTCGGCGGAGGGGCGGTCGCCGACGCATCAGCAGAACCGGAGGTGGGAGGAGGAGGAGGGTTGGTCGGGGAGGCCGAGCTGGGAGCAGGAGACGGGGGCGATGGGTCATCGAAACGTTTGGCGAGGGCGGCGGCGGCCTGAGCGGTCATACACAAGCCATCGGCCTGGGCCTTGAGGCCCTTGGTGAGAGACGAAGTGCGGGTAAACACGTCCAACTGCCGCTGACGCACAGCCAGGTGCTTGGTCGCGATGGCTTTGGCGACATTGAGCACCTGGATGGTGTCCAGCAGACGTTTACCGGACATGATCGGGAGCAAGAGGGAAGAAGAGGAACGCCGGATGGCCGAAAAGGGGGAGGAGAGTGGATTAAAAGCGTAGGGCTGCAGCAGCCATGGCGAAGCACGAAGATCGGCGGAGAGAAGTTGCTTACCGCATCGGGAAGGCGTTGAAGTTCGCCGAAGCCCGGTTTTCTGCAGTGGGTCACCGCCTGCCGGGCAGTCCCGAACGGGAGTTATCGGGCGAGTTTTGTTCTTCTAATGCTTTTACCAACTGATAAGAGCATCACCTCTACTTAAACATGGAGTCTTCCCCAGGAATTGCTCCAGATTCTCTCCATTGACTCGATCATTCTCCCAGACACAACACCCCGATACCCCCCGACCACTACAACCGCCCTACATATATATATACTTACATCCATGCCCGGCAAGCAACTGCACTCCATCCCCGCCCTCGAGAAAGAGATCGCCGATCTCGAGTATCGCCTCCACAATGCCCGATATCGCCTCGCGGAGGCCACAGGGACGCCGACAGAATCCGTCTCTCCCAGCGTCGACGACGACTCCTCATACCTCTCTCTCCCTGAAGGTGCGCAATCACTCCCGACTTCCCATCCCTTCCCCGCTAACACACCCCAGATACCACACCAGTAAATCCTACCCATCATGCCCTCCTTCTCCTCTCCGATTCCGCCCTCCCACTGGGCTCCTTCGCCTACTCCAGCGGGCTGGAGTCTTACATCGCACACAACAAACCCCTTCCTCCCACCGTCACTCCCACTGCCTCCTTCCACCGCTTCCTCAAGCTCTCCATTGCCTCGATGGCGAGTACCTCTCTCCCATACGTTCTCGCCGCCTACCGGCGACCGCATGAGCTGGAAACCCTCGACAATGACCTCGACGCGTCGACGCCATGCGTGGTCGCCCAGCGGGCGAGCGTCGCGCAGGGCCGCGCGCTGATCGGCGTCTGGGAGCGCGCCTTCCGCGGCACCTATGCCAGCGACCCGTTCCTGGCCGGCCCCACGGCCACCAAGGCCGTCAAGACCATTGAGGCGTTCTCCGACGCCTTGAAGATGTCCTCCGACGATACCGACTCTCTCGGTCCGAAGGGCCATTTCGCCCCCCTGTGGGGCGTCGTCTGTCTGGCCCATGGGCATGGACGCCCGCCAGACGGCCCTACGTCTTTATGCTGAACCATGCCAAGGCGGTACTCTCTGCCGCCGTGCGCGCCTCCGTCATGGGCCCTTATCAGGCACAGGGCGTGCTGGCCAGCAAATCCCTCCAGGACATGATCACCGCCCGAATAGATCGCGAATGGGACACCCCCGTCGAAGAGGCGGGGCAGGTGGTCCCGTCGCTAGATCTGTGGATGGGAAGACATGAACTTCTGTACAGTAGAATATTTAATTCGTAAATAATGATTAATGTAACGACCTTTATGCCAATCCTGCCTCGCACGTTTGCATGACCGTAATATAGTGGTGTATCTGTCGTCCTGCTCGTCCATCGAGCATCCAGCCTAATCCTACATCACTCACGCCGTCACCTCCCACCCACGTGCCACTGCGAACACTGAGGGTATCCAAAAAGCCCAAAAAAAGACAGGAAGAAAAGAAGATCCTCTGCCGAGGAAAACCATGACCAAATATGCAAAGTTAAACATGGCTCATCCGAGCACGAAGAGATATCAACAAACGCCAGTCCCCCTCTGGATTCATATCCGGCTAAACCCGCACGCAGAAAACACCGCACCAGAAACCTTTTCCCCAAAAGAAGTAAAGGGAAATAAAAGAACACTAATAAAAAAAGATAGTGGGAGAAAAAGGGGGTGGTAGAACAGAAAAGACAAGAAAGAAGTATGATACAAGAAGGGAGCGGCAAGCAGATCACAAGGTAATGTGCATGTAATCGTTGTTGCCAAAGGATCGATTGCAATTCGGGCACTTTCGAGAGCGAGAGGTAAGGCGCTCCTCGACACAGTCGCGGCAGAAAACGTGCCCGCAGGTCTTGATGGCCGTGTTCTTGAAGTTTCGCCGACAGACCGTACAAAGCGCCAAGGTCTGAACCAGTCAGTTGAAACATTCTCACGGCATTAAAAAGCGAAAGACTTACCCGTAGCATTTCATACTCGGAGGAGGAATTTCCAAGGCTCTTATTCTTCCAATTCTCCAAACTCTTCTTCGTATCCGCGAGGGTGGCCTTCAAACCTTCCACCTCCGTCTCGGCTTGACGGCAAGCACTGGACGCGTTCGCCAATGCGGTATCTTTGGAGACCGAGAGGTTCTTCAGCTCAGTAATTTGTCCTCGGAGACCATCCATCATGATGCTACTCTCGGTGAGCTGTTGCTGTGCGGCGTTGTGCTTCTGCGTCATGGTGTTGAGCGCTTCCCGAGTCTCGCTGACTTGCTTCTCCATGTTGGACAGTAACGAACGAGTGGCGGCTTCGGATTCCTTCAGTTGAGAGACGATATCCGAGCTCTTGGAATTCTGCATCCGCAGCGTGCGCACTTCCATATCCCGCGCCTCCTTACTCTTCATCGCCGCGAAATACTTCTGATCGGCCTTTGACTTCTCGGCAGTTAACCGCGCGACCTTCTCTTCCAGAGCGCTGTAGTCCGAAACTTTCTGCGATGCCAGGGACGAGTACTTCCTGCAGGCGGTCTGCATGGACGTAAGTTCGGTATTGAGCATGGAATATTGACGCTCGAGGTTACGATATTTGACCCGTAACTCTTCGACTGGAATTTCATCGACTTCGGGTTGGTTGTCCCTGGCGTTGTCCAGCTGCAGGCGGAGCCGCTCGACCTCCGATTCCAACGACGCAATTTGCGCCTTTGCGGCGTCGGTAAGTTCCTGGACTTTGAGTGATGCCGTCTTCTCCTGCTCCTGCGCAGCTTTTCGCATCTGCTGATCGGCCAAGAGTTCGTCGCGTGCATTCCGTATCCGGGCCAAGTCCGTCTCCGCCCGCATCAGTTGCGCTTCCTTTTCCGCAATGACATTCTGCGTCTCTTCGTCAATTTGATTACGGTATGCAGTCCGTTCCGATCGTAGCTTCGTGGCTTCTTCGCGCAATTGCACATTAGTCGCTTCTAAATGATTTATCCGCTTCACCACATCCTCATATTGGGACCGTAATTGCTTAAATAAATCCGTGTGCGCGTAATCATCATCCGTCAGTTTCGAGCGCTACCAAGTCTGGTTAGCATTAAGCGAGTCTCGGCACGGGTGTTCACCTACCTTGATATTCATCTCGGTAATCTGGCCAAGTAGACTGGCATTCTCGGCCTCTAATTTCTGCAACTGTTCCTTCTGCTTCTCGGAGATCGCAGAAACCCGGTGAAGTGCCTCCTCCGATTCCGGGGTGCGCTCGGCAACGGGAGTTGCACCATTGGGGGTCGCGGTTTCCTCGCGCTGTGAGGAAGCGCTGTCACCCCCCGGTCGTTGTGCCCCAAAAATATACTGTTTTTCCAGCTTGGCGACTGTGACACTCCGAGCGCGATCAAGTTTCTTCTCCGCCACCATGTACCGGAAAGACGCTTCTTCGAGACTCTCCTCTAGTTGTTGCTTTTCGGAGAGGGCCTTCTCAAGTTCCGTAATCGTAGCTTTTTCTTCAGCCAATTTTTTGGACAATTGGCTTTGCAGTTCCGATACTTCAGGGGGCACCTTCGGCGCATTGGAGGCACAGCGTGATATGATCTCGCGGATATCATCCGACCGGGACTTTAAATGTTTCTCAAATTTCTCGGCATCGTCGAAGAGTAGGGAGCTCTTAAACGAGGGGCGTTCTGGATATCGTCAGCATGGAGAGCAGGAATACCCACCATCTGGAGTGCACCCACCTTGACTTTCTCCCGACGGGCCAATAAGGATTTTAATTTCATCGATCAACTTCGGACACGTTAGAACACCGCTTTGTACGCCTCGTAAACTGCCGACATATCGCTCACCTGGTTATACCATGCATCGATAATTCGCAAATGGTCATTAAGCTGCATGGTAGTCTTCGACATTTGATTCACTTTCGTCTCCAGGGCATTCTTCTCGCGTTTGTATTCCTGCATCTGGCGCCATATCGCATCCTTTTGGAATCGCTATTGTGGAGAAACAACTTGTCAGTACTGGGTAACTTTGTCTGATTGATCCGTCGAGACTTCGTTCAGCCAGAACCCCTTAGTGTCGGTGATCGCAGGAGAAACCCCGTCTGTCTTCAATCAACCCCTGACAGCGTGTGAACTCACCTCCAGATCATCTTTCCAGGGCATATCAGCATCAGGATGAGGTTTCCCACCCCCATTGACCGAAGTCGCCTGCTTCTTCAACGGGGGCGCGGATTCATTTTGGTCATACGCAGCAGGTCTCTTCCGGTCTTCCATTTTGACAAAACCGGACTCGGACGATGCGACGGGGGAGGCGTCGGCGGCCGGCATCAGTGGCTAGAGAAAAGGCACGAACAAGGCGACGGCCGTCTCCACTGAGCAGCAGCGAGCCGGGAGCAGAGACCGCGGCAAAGTCCGACCGTGAAAAAGAGCAGGTTGTGGCTGGGATGGGGTGGTGGAAAGGGAAAAAAGAAAGGGAGGGGTGAGATAAGCCAGCGAGAGGAGGGCGACTTGGACTGAAGCCAGGAGGATTTTCGGCGTGGAAGTTAGCGTTCGCCCTAGCGCCTCCCACGTGACCGCACCCACTTCTACCCCGTTCAGATGAATCAGGAAGCGCATCTAGACTTTTACATCCTCCCGATTCCTCGACTCACCATGCTTGCGCCATGAAATCATTCTCCAGTTCTGCTATTAGTTCGTACATTTCGCGTCGCTTTTCTTCGTCTCATCATTATACAGGACTAACATTGACATAGATAAGTCGGGTAAGAAATTCGCTCCCAAGGCGCCCGCCCGACGCGCCGCTCCCGCCGCAGCACCTCCACGACGACCTAGCGTTGCATCGCAGACCTCGACTGCTCACACTCCCCAGCCAGCAGCTGCTTCAGCGACCCCAGAGCCGTCTCGTCGCCCCTCCACCAGCGAACCTGCTGCGCAGTCAGTGCCATCTGCAGTTCAGGAACCTTCATCTACCCAGAATAGAAATGCGACAGTTACCCAAAAAGCAACCGCCACCCCAATTGCCGTGCCTCAACCAAAACGGAAGGCTTCCTTCTCGGCGACGGCCACCAGTATCATCCCAACCCCTCCTCAACCATCCCCACCCCCGCGCGCATCCCCGGCCGAGCCGGCACCAGAAACGACCATCGATCTACCCAATAACCAGCGCCATGAGCGAGATTCCATAGACGGTTCGCACATTGATGACGAGTCGCACATACCACCTGGGCTTCACCCATCGATCGAATCCACAACCGAGACGCGACCGACGAAACGTCCGCGCACCGCCTCAGTAACGACCCCCGCGAATGTGGAGATTCCACCGCTACAAAATGCCTCGAATCTTGTCACCCCGCCGGCAACGCAGGCCATGGATGGTCTGACGACTGAGGAGTCAGATCGGGCGCAATCACAAATCCCCCCGGACCAACCGCGAAAGATGTCGAGGTCCAAAAGTCGGCGGACGTCGAAAGATGAAAACGGATCGGGCAAAGAGCGAAAGCGTCGGGTGAGGCGCAAGCGCGAGCCGACCCCAGAGGGTGCAGAGCAGGTGGAGATAGCGCCGGCGTTGGTAAAAATGTCAGAGTTGTGCAAAGATCTAAAAACGGGTAAAAAATCCACGCGAGAAATGGAACTACGAAAGATGGAACAGGAGGAGCTAGAGCGAAAGCAGAAAGCGCAAGAAGAGGGAAAGAAGGAAGAGCCGCCGGTACCGAAACAGAGTGAGGAGAGGGCATCTATCGACAATCTCGACCAGCAGCCTCAATCGGGGCCACAAATGCGAATTGTGAATGGCGAGATTGTGCTTGATACGACTTCACTGCAGGTTGACCGACATGCGGACGCGGCGCGGAATGCGGGAGAACTGGAGGATGTGGTGGAAAACTCGCTCACGCGGCGCATCAATCAGGCTTCGTACGGCAAGCGGTCTAAGACCGAATCCTGGGATGAAGAGATGACAGACCTGTTCTACCGTGGTCTGCGGATGTTTGGGACGGATTTCATGATGATCAGCAAGCTATTTCCGGGCCGATCACGTCGTCAGATCAAACTGAAGTTCAATGGCGAAGAGCGTCGCGACCCAGAACGGATCAGAGAGACATTAATGGGACCGCGCGAGACCATCGATATCAACACATATTCTGAGATGACCAACACTGTCTACGACGATCCCCGGGTGATCCAACAAGAGCTCGAGGAAGAGAAAAAACGGATCGAAGACCAGCATGCGAAAGAGAAACAGGCTCAGGAGGAGCTACTTCGCAATCCGGATGGCGCTGAGAATGGCGATTCATCCGCCGCGGATAAGTCCAACGGTGTTCCTACGAAGAGCAAGCGGAGTAGGAAGCAGCTCAAGAATATGGGCGATGGAACGGAAGAGATCCTGGGCACGATTGATGACTATTGAGTAATGAATACTAGGACTAATATCTTTATTTCCTTCTCCCTCTTCTTCTTCTTGACGTTGTTACTGATCTCCTGTAAATGTAGAAATGATTAGTTATCGTATAACATGTCCTATCCACCCAGCCCTTACCGCTGGGCCGACTGAAAATCGCCCTACTATGATTTATATCCTAGGGGAAGCGTTCTCTATTATGGTTCAAGTTTATAGACTCTCCCTTTTAGGATCTGTCGATGTACAAGAATGTTCTTAGGTGCGTTGTAGCACGTGCCATTCCCATCCGTATAAGGCACCAAATCAGGATCGTCAAAATAGTTGTAGAGCTCACAAAAGAGGCTTGGCTTCTTAGTAATATGCCAGATTGAAAAGCCCGGTTAAGTCAAGTCGCATGCAGCCGTCATAAACCAGGCCCTCATCGTACCCGGGGTCCTCTGAATTATAGTTCATGTCAAGTACATTCACGTACCCAATAGGCCGCATGCTGTTAGGTAACTCCGGGTCTCCACTAGCTAGAATCGACTGGGCGCATCTCTTGTCTATTATCAGACAATAGCTTGTTCGTGGGTGAGGCCAATAGGATCGAGGCTATGTAGCTTTAGCCATTCCAAGTGTCGCTTTCAGATTACCTCTGGCGAGGCCCGTTCGAGTGCTGGTTCCTCCATAATAACATCAAGGTGTCGGCTGACTATCTGGAAAATGGCTAGAGAGTGTACGAACTAGGTAGCAAGACCGCTAGCCCTCATCACTTTCATAGAATGGACGGTGATTGAGGGGAGGAGGGGGCCAAGAAAGTTACGACGGGGTCGGATAACGATATATGAGGCATCAGGTTCCTGCCATATCGCTAGATGTCTAGGTGAAGATATACGGAGTACATACGTTTCGTCCACCTTCCCAATCACCTGCGTCTGGTTGAGCCGAACCCAGTGCTGGTTGACGGGGTTGAAAACTGGGAGGCCGACCTTGAGCTGCCTTCCCCAGGGTCATGCATATTGCCCCATCGTTGGCTGGCTGCACGCCGGCCTGTATCCCGCCGTCCGAGTCCATACCCGGCGGCAGCACCTCCCAGTGCACCAGTCCAGAAGCCTGGGGTCCAGCCCGGTCGAGACCAAGTGGAAGCGTTATCATTGCAGGAGTTGTACGGTGGTGGTGGGCCAGGGGGATAGAAGGGACCTCCACCACCACCTCCTCCTCCTCCATCCCAACGGCCCCAACCTCGAAAACGACGCTCTCCCCCATCCCATCGCAGGCCAAAACATTGCCTCAACATCGGCCACATGATCAGCAGGAAGCATGCCACGAAGAACCCAAAGAAGATCAAGTCGCCTAAAAGGGCCATCACATTGCGCCCGCGCGACGCCAGTGCACCATCATTCAGCCAGGAGTCCTCACGCACACGCCCGAACTTCTTCTCGCCCAGCTCCGTCAACAGCAATCGATATTCCACCCCACAGCTTCCCTTCAACACCCAGGGGTCATCGGCATCGCGGTATCCCTCGCACACGACGTCGGTGGCACCGAGTTTGAACTCCGCCGGGAGGGAAGCGGTACACGTCCACTGGACGTCCTCTTCGTCGTAGTCGTAGCCGGCGTTGGTGCAGCGCATCGTATCGATTGGGTACATGTCACAGATACGCTTTGAGGGACCGGTGCATTTGAGCTGGGGGATTGGGGAGACCCGTCGGGAGCTTGTGAGCCGGTTCGCGCGGAGCGTCAAGGTCTGAACTTTGGATAGAAGGATGGCATTTTTCCCTGGGGGACGTTCAAAAGCTCGATTGTATGAGAAGGCTGGTGAGGAGAGTAAGATGAGGGTGAGAAAGAGCTGTAGGTGGATTAGAGGCTTCATGGTTAGAAGGATGTTTGCGCTTGGTAAATGTATATTTGCTAGAAGTTAGTAAGAGACTGAAATGGCTTGATTGTCCCAAAACATGGTGAGATGTAACGTGGCCTCTCAGGCTCCAACCATGATGACGATGGCGAAGTCGACAGGAAGAAGTTCTGGACTTGCGTTCCTCAGGCAGGAAGAGTCCCCCAGAACACGCTAGTCTAGATTGGGGCGGTCCGAGGCAACCCACCGATCAGTTCAACATCACCTACAAGTACTTCCAATTACCCTCACCACCTGCTCTCAGCACTCCTCCCAATTCTACTCACCTGGCGTGGCGATGGGCTATGAGAATTGCTTGAGGTCTCTAGTGGCTGACAATGAATTTTCAGCAAAGTGCGATCCCTCCTTTCTCTTTTCTGTCGGGCCGTAACTAACTGTTCTCTGTCTACCAGATGAACCCTCGCCCGTCCCGGCTCCGTCTTCGTACGTCACCGTGGCTGACTTCTCGATCGTGTCTCGCTAACATATCAGATGAAGTCTCTCCTTCACCCAGGGGTTTCTTCTGGGCCAGCTCTCTGTTGTGCTGTTGATTGGGGCCTTTATCAAGTTCTTTATTTTTGGTGAAGCACCGCCTCCGCCGTCCCGCGGCCTCTCCCACCGCGCATCCACCCACCGACGGTCCAATTCGATTTACACCATTTCCACGAACGAGGCTGGCTCCAGGTCATTGCGAGAGAAGCCGTCCACCTCGAATGTCCTGCGACCCGTTCCATCCTCGTCGACGAACACCCGGTCCATTTTACGGAAGACCTACTACGGCGCCATCCCCACAAATCCCTCGAAGCATGGCCGCCACCGCGTTCATCACTCATCCCATCAACCGGAATCCTTGGACTGGTTCAATGTCCTCATCGCCCAGACTATTGCTCAATACCGACAGACGGCGTATTTACTCAAGGATGAACCGACGTCGTCGATTCTTAGCTCGTTAACTGCGGCGTTGAACAATCCGGAAAAGAAGCCCTCGTTCATAGACAAAATCACGGTAACAGACATCTCCCTGGGCGAGGAGTTCCCCATCTTCAGCAATTGCCGCATCATCGCGGTAGATGACCCCAACTCCGACGGCGGAAGGCTTCAGGCCTTAATGGACGTCGACCTGAGCGACGACAACCTCTCAATTGGCATAGAGACGTCGCTCCTCCTAAACTACCCGAAACCTGGCTCTGCGATTCTCCCAGTCGCCCTGTCCATCTCTGTTGTCCGATTCTCAGGGACCCTGTGCATTTCCCTCGTCCCCGCGTCCACGCCGCCTCTTCACACCCCTTCCCCATCCCCGGCTCCCCAAACCGCGGACGGGGCTCGTACTCAATCACAGCCCGAGAACAACTCATCCAATCCTAACCAGCAATCTGCCGATGCATCTGGCGCTCCTCCTAAGACCAGTCCTAAAAGCAATGTTGCGTTCTCATTTCTTCCAGATTATCGCCTAGACCTATCTGTGCGGTCTCTCATCGGCTCCCGCAGCCGTCTTCAAGACGTTCCAAAAGTGGCTCAGCTGGTGGAAGCCCGTGTCCATGCGTGGTTTGAGGAGCGGGTGGTTGAACCCCGTGTGCAGGTCGTCGGACTTCCGGACCTGTGGCCTCGCATGGGCCGCACCGGCGTCCGGACTGGAGAGGATTCCGAGACAGGCTCGAACGCTGCGTCTCGGTCTGCCATCTCGGCAGACTTGGGGTCATCTTTGCGGGACGATCTCGATCAAGGACCCGATGGACTGCGATTCCGGGGGCCCCTAGGAGCACGACCGCAGTTCGACAGCGTGTCGAGATCCAGCAGCTTCAACGTCGAGACGGGTGGGTTCCACGGACATCCTATGACTCGAGAAGACAGCCGCGGGGCGATAAGCGACGATTTTCACATGCCGGGTTCTCTACCTGACGGTGCAGTTGGGAACTAACATGAATTGCATCTGTATAATAGAGGTTCTTACTTGAATGAATACGGTCTTGGATGCTACAGCTAGCATGGGAATGCGTATGAGTTGAAAGGCATGTCATCAAGTTCATTCAGTCGGTATATGCATAGTCATCAACCCTGCAGTCATCATACACTGCACCAACCCCTGCCTTGCATCCCATCAAGAACCACCTAGTTAGCAGCCACAGGAGCACCACCCACGCTCGCCAGATACGTCTTGCGGTGGGGGTTAGCATCGACGTCCGTACTGCGGTTAAGAGGCGTCCACTTGGGCTCCTCCTGGAAGAGGCGCATAGCCTTGACATACTACACACTCAGTCAGCGTCGCAGCACCCAATTACACGGAACACAGCCACAACGTACGTTCTTGTCGTCGGTCGTGAACCGATGGTAGATACCAGCAGGCAGAATGATGAGATCATCCTTCGCGAGCTTGATCCGCACCCACTCGTCCTCCTGGCCACGCACGTCGAAGTAGCCCTCGCCGTCACGGATGTAGCGAATCTCCTCGTCCTCGTGCAGGTGCTCCGCGAAGAACATCTTCACCTTGTCCTCGTACACATCGCCCATGGTCTGCGGTGACACGACGATCTCGTCGCGGTTCTTGTATCCGCGCTCGGCTGCCAAAGCGTCCACGGCCTCGATGGTCGGGCAGTGGCGGTAGAAGACGCCAATCGAGGCGAGGTAGTCCTCCGAGACGGGGCGGCCGGAGTCGTGAGCCTCGCGCTGGTCGCCCTGCGGAGTGGTGAGCGGGATACCTAGGGTTCAGAAGGGGGTCCCACGTACCGGCTTGTTGTCGTACCAGTAAGCCTTCATTTTGAGTTGCTTAAGACGTGAATGAGAAGAGAATTCAGGTAGACACCTAGGTAGTTAGAGTAAAAGATCAGACCGCGGGGTGACCAAATACTGCCCCGCAATTGGCCGGCGATGGCGCAAACTGGCGGTGGTGATTATCTCAGCCGCTTCTCACCGCCTTCGGACTTTACGGGAATAAAGTGTCACACGTGATGCTGAATAACGCTTTTTTCCTGGCGATATTTGGCGTATTTTGGGTCTCGTCTCGTCCTGTCCAAACACTTTTCGCCATCGACCACCATCATGGCTTTCCGAGCTCGGTCACTGGCGCTCAGTCGCAGCGGCCTCGGGTTTCGGTCCCGATTGCTGGGATCATTTCGTGGCCTGGCGACCGTCACGGATGGCTCGCGGTAAGGAGAACTTTCTCATCCTCACTCAACCGTCCTTGATCAGCGGATGCTAATCTCTTCTGGTGCAGGCCGTACGATGTCGTCGTTATCGGGGGTGGTCATGCGGGGTCAGAAGCCTGCGCGGCTGCTGCTCGTTCGGGAGCGCGCACCGCATTAATCACGCCGTCGCTTTCCAACATTGGGGTGTGTTCGTGCAATCCGAGTTTTGGAGGAATTGGCAAGGGAACGATGATTCGGGAGGTAGATGCGATGGATGGAGTTGCCGGACGCATTATCGACAAAGCAGGAATCATGTTCCGCATATTGAACCGGTCAAAGGGTCCGGCCGTCTGGGGTCCCCGGGCCCAGATTGATCGCGATCTCTACAAGAAGTATATGCAGGAAGAGCTCACCGGGACGGAAGGGCTGAGCATCGTGGAGGGCAAGGTTGCGGATATTGTTGTCTCGAAGGAAGGCATCGAGGATATCCCCGGCGCGCAGGGCAAGATCGTCGGAGTGAGGCTCGAGTCTGGGGAAATCATTCCCACCGGCCGGGTGGTGATCACGACGGGCACGTTTCTGGGAGGAGAGATCCACATCGGACTCAAGGTCTTCCCTTCTGGGCGCATGGGAGAGGCTGCCACGTTCGGACTGAGCAAATCCCTTCGGGAGGCGGGCTTCCAGCTCGGACGGCTGAAGACCGGCACGCCTCCGCGGCTGGATAAGAAAACCATCAACTTCGCAGCCTTGGAGGTCCAGAGAGGCGACTCGCCCCCGCAGCCGTTCTCCTATCTGAACAACACCGTTCAAGTCGGGGACGAGGGTCAGCTCACCTGCTGGATGACGCATACGAACGAGGCGGCCCATGACATTATCCGCGCCAACTTGGACAAGTCCGTCCATATTCGCGAGACCGTGCGGGGACCGAGATACTGCCCTTCGCTGGAATCGAAGATCATCCGCTTCAAGGACAAGCACCGCCATCTCATCTGGCTGGAACCAGAGGGATTCGCGCCCAACGACGTCATATACCCCAACGGCATCTCCATGACCGTGCCTGAGGACGCGCAGTTCGCCATGCTGCGGACCGTCCGTGGCCTCGAAAACGTCCGCATGCTGCAGCCCGGATACGGAGTCGAGTACGACTACATCGATCCGCGCAATCTGTGGCCGTCGCTCGAAACCAAGTTGATCAGCGGCCTCTATCTGGCCGGCCAGATCAACGGCACAACAGGATACGAAGAAGCCGCCGGACAAGGTATCATCGCCGGCACCAACGCCGGTCTGTCCGCACAGGGCCGGCCCCCTCTGACCCTCACCCGGTCCGACGGGTTCATCGGAATCATGATCGACGACCTTATCACGAAGGGTGTCTCGGAGCCGTACCGCATGTTCACGACACGCAGCGAATACCGCATCTCCACACGCTCCGACAACGCGGATCTGCGTCTCACCCGCATGGCACGCAAGGCTGGAATCGTGTCCGACAAACGCTGGCACCACTTCACCGACACCGAAGCACAAATCCAGGAACTCCAAACCCTCCTCGCAAACACCCGCATGTCCTCCAGCGCCTGGTCCCGCAGAGGGTTCAAAGCCCGCACGGACACGTCCATTCGATCTGCACTGGACCTCCTCTGTCTGGACGAGGTGGACGTCGACGCCCTCATCCCGCACATCGAATCCCCGTCCGGGGTCGCATACACGCCGGCCTCGTTCGCCCCCGAGATCCGCACCCGCGTCGCCATCGAGCGCCGGTACGCCCCGTACATCGCGCGACAGGAGACGGCGGCGCGGAAGTTCCTCCAGGACGAAAACCTGCTTCTTCCTGCGGGCCTGGACTATTCGAAGGTCCAGGGTATCAGCACGGAGGAGCGACAGGCGCTGGAGCGGGTGCGGCCGCTCAGCGTCGGCATGGCACGACGGATTGAGGGCGTCACGCCGGCCGGTGCGTTGAGGTTACTTGCGCATGTGCGGAAGCATGTGCCGTCTCCGTCGGGTGACGCTGTTCCCGAGGAGCTTTTGCAGGAGACGCCTTGATTCGGATTATGTGTGTGTACGATATATATTGTTTGTTCAGCGGTGGTAACGGGCGCAATGGGTGTATTCTCCGAGATATTGGAATGTGTATTTCTATAGGACATATTACGCATACAGATAGATACCTCTTGTAAATTAGATCAACGATGTTTTATCGCGGGCTTCTTTTGGGCCTGTAAGGTGTAGCGTATATCAGTAGGCATAATGGAGGGTCTTGACTTGCTCTGATGTTCCTAGGCTTCCTCCTTTACTCATTTCAAGGCAGAGAGCTGCCATCACCAACTGAGGGTAGAAATATATATCCACTCACACTACACGGGGACCAGAAGGTAAGCTGTAGATAGACGGTAAGAATAATCAGATGCCCTTACACCTGACATCAGGAATGATAATTCTAATGCTATGCAACCAAGACAACACGGTGCCGAGTCTATTTACATACTGTACAACCCCGACCACGTCACGGCGAGTCCATGATCAATCACGAGGACCCTTTCTTCGCCGCCGCCGCTCTTGCGATGCGCTTCTGCACCTCCTCCTTCGACAGGATCTTGACCGCATCTTTCGAGAAGACGTAGCTCAGGCCAGACCAGAGAGTGGTGGCAGCGACGAGGTATCTAATGATGTTAGTGGCCGATGAAGGAGAAAGCTCAAAAAGTAAAACGCAAAAAGAAAAACATACAACAGCCGGGATTCGCTGGTGGTCACCCACCCAACTACTAACCGGCCGGCGTGTGGCTTAAGTACGGCTGAGCGGACGGGAAGCCCTGTTCTCCACACCCTGTGGTCGTATGTGCTAGGTTACACCTAGCAAAGGGTTTTATCGGGCCCCGACCACCGAGCGTCTCCCACAACAAAAGCACAAACACGGGCAAGAGAAAGAGAAAGTACTTACTGGAACCCAGTCATAGCTTCACGGAGATTCCACGCATCCAGGATCGTCTCCGGCACCACGGGCAGGGCAATGGCGCTCCCGACCAGCAGCAGCTGCAGGGCGGTGTTGACCTTGGAGATCTGAGTGGGTTTGACCTCGGCGGAGGGGAGGGAGAAGTCCCAGTACCGGGCCATTGTTTTGGGCGGGGGGAGCGAGATCCAGCGGTAGTAGATTGCGGAGACGGCCAGGCCGACGTCGCGGCCGAGGATGATGACGGCCAGCCAGACTGGACATGCCGGGTTGTTAGTGGGTTCCTCTGCACGAAGGGAGGCTGTTGGCTGCGATGAACGCACCTGGGATGGAGCCGTTGACGGCCAGACAGGCGACACCGATGGTCATCAGCAGCTTATCGGCCATGGGGTCGATGATGGTGCCGACCACCGTCTGGAGGTTGTACCGCCGGGCGATGTAACCGTCGACGAGGTCGGTGATGCCGGCGTACGCGAACAGGGCCAGGGCGGCCCCGTGGTAGTCGTGCACGAGGAAGTACCCTACGAGAGGAGCGGCGACCAGCCGCGAGAAGGTGAGAATGTTGGGGACGGTGTAGATGTTCTCGTGCGTCGACGGACGAGGGATCCGTGACAGGATGGGAGACTTTTTTGTCTCCGGTTGTGGCCTGTCGGGTCAGTCAAACGACGGTGAATTGGGATGGGAGAGGACGTACTTTGTGGCATTTTGGTCAGAAGATTTTTGCGTCGTATACCAGTATTTCTGTTGGGGGGAGCTCGAGACCAAGGCACCAGGGATATGGGTTCGGTTTTTGACGATGACGGTAGGCATGTTAGCAGATGTTCTCGACCTGAACGAACAGGCCGGCTTGTGACTGTCTTGAATGGCATTGAAGCGCCTCTTCATAGCAGTGATTGACAGGCCTCTCGTCTTGATTTGACAGCCGAGACTGAATGATGGGTTGAAAGCCACGGTTCCACATGACAGACGGGGGCGCAGCCGGGATGCGCGGATGGGCATTAGGAAAAGTGGACTGGCCGCCATGATGCGCCTGACTGAAGGATGACAGTTGGTATCTGGTCTTGCAGAGTAAAATAGAGAAAATATGATTGCGCAGGCTCAATTGAGCGGGACGTGCAATCCAGGGTAGTGGTGCGGGTCTTCATGCACCAGACGGAGCTGATGAAGTCAGTGGAGATACCCGAAAAGGAAAAGGGATGGCATACAGAGGTGCACTTTTCCCTCGTAGACAAAGTGAATTAGACCAAACGAGCGAGACAATCACAGACAGACAGATTGATCCTCTCAATCGAATGCTATCCCGTCATGCCAATATTAATGTGACAGTGGTAATCGGATATGCGGGATTTCGAACTTCCACGCTACAGCTGCTGTCTCTGGGGAGAAGGACAAGCGAGACAGGCAAGACAGGCGACTGCCATCCGCACACTGGAGAGCAAATCAACCTGATGGGCGGCAGCGAGGGAAACACCGACGTCGAGGACAGCAGGAGAAGAGTGTATACAAAGTGAGGCTCGTGATGTGCGCAAACCGGGTCAATGGTTGTTCCGCTCACGTGATGACGTCTCTATACAACTACCTATACCGAACTAGATATTCAGAAGAGTTCCGTTCTAACTTCTGTCGATTCTGCTCTCCTTCACTATCAAGTGATGTTTCTTCACTATTCCGGTGGTGGTGTTGACATGGTTCATGACACAGACTCCTCTACAATTAAGCCCGCCTTGCCGGAAGCTTCTTGATCGATTAGACTTCCGAAGGAAGATGCATGCGCATCCGATCACCATGAAGCGGTTCAAACAAGCGACGGTGGCTGATCTTGTCAACATATTCAGGTACGTCAATATCCTTCTCTCTCAGTCACCACATCACTAACCCTCTCCCAGACCATTCACAACCAAAGCTCACCTGACCATTCCGGCGATCATTAACACACGATTCACCCGATCGATCTGCGCTTGGCTGTGTGCCTGACGGCGCTCTCATCTGACATCGCGCTTGACGCCTCACCTGATATACAAGCTGCCTGTCTGCGTCACTTCTCTCTGGACTTTGACTTGCGTCACCACCGCTTCAATCCTCGACTTCATGGACTTGCTTTTCCCCCCATGGATGCTCTCATCTTTACGACCTCGCGATGGGAATGTTACAAGGTGACGAGGGCAGTGAGCCGGCGGCCAGACGGGCCCCGGACATGACTGTCGTGACCTTTGACCAAAGACGCGCACCTAGAACGACTACCACAGACCAACCAGACGAACCAGCAGAATCCAACCCGTCCATCACCGACAGGCCTCCCGCCGTCCTGGCCGGGCCCGTCGACCCCAACCTGGCCAACCCGCGGCTCCTCGTCAACCGGACATGCATCTACGAACGCCATCTCCCCGCCAACGCCTACATCACAGCGCACGTCCAGCGCCTCCAGCACGGCCACTACTCGTCACCGGCGGTGTCCGACCAGGACTTCGACCACGTCGACTTCCTCAGCGTCAACTTCGTCTTCCACTCGCCCAACACCCTCGCACACCGCTTCCGCGCCGCCACCATCCGCGCCTCCGTACGCTGCGGCCGCGACAGCAGCGCCGGACCCGCGCGCTCGCGCAACCCGCGCTTCCTCAAGCACGCCCCGCACCTCCTCTACGGCACCGTCTCGCCCGAGACCCTGCAGTGGAACTACAGCCTGACGGGCTCCCTCGGCGTCGCCGAGCTGCCGGTGATGGCCAGCATCACGCCGGCCGGCGGCATCAACGGCCGCTACCGGCGCTACGAGATGATGCGCATCCAGGGCTCGGTGCGCTCGCTGCCCAGCCCGCGCGGCCGCCGCTTCGACGCCGACGCCGCCCAGCTCGTCTGGTCCCTCGAGGAAAACAACCTGCAGCGCTCCGGGCTCCCCCGCGAATTCACCTTCGCCATGCTCATCCAGAAACCCCGCGCTGACAGCCGCGTCCAATTCGCCCTCGACATCGACCCCGTCCTTCAGTTCCACTGCTCCGTATACCCGGCCTGGTGGCTGCGGCAGCGTCGCTACCGCCCCGTGCCCCGTCGCCCCGTCGACTTTCGCGTCGAAGTCGGCCAGCGCTTCGAGCCTGTCCCCGCCGACAGTGCCTCGCGCGGGTTCAACTTTGCCGCCCTGGAGAGTTCGTTTGACGATTATGTGCATATGCCGGGGAAGCGGTTCGCGTCTGGCGTAGGCCCCCCCAACAATCTATGGAAGTTGTCTGATCTCAGCTCACGCGCGGTATCCCCAGATCCCTATCCTCCCAGACGACACCGACGGCCTCCCCGATAACCCCCCCAACGCCCCCGGCGACTACTCCATGGTCCAACCCGTCAGCGGCATGCCCCAGCTGCCCTTCCCGGCCGGCGGCATGGCCGCCATGCCAGGGCGGGTGCCCGTGAACGCAGCAGCCGGACCGATGATGCCGCCGGGGTTCAACGCGGGGGGACTGCCCATGCGGACGATCCTCGCCAGCAACGGGCAGAACTAAGAGCCTGCGGGAGATGGGCACTACCCGTCCGGGGATTAATTACGCATTACCCAGGAAGCAGATACATAACTAGGTCGGGGGAAGCAAGGTAGCAAGGAGGGACGACGCGATGCGGACTGCAGTCGAGATGCAAATCGGAAATAAAGTTATGACAGACGGCTGCTTCCCCAGATCAGGATCGTGATAACCCTAATTCTAAACCCTGATCTTGTCTGTACCTTATTTCATCCTTGATATCAAATCGAATCCCACACCTGTATTTCACATTTCCAATTCCAATTTACCCTGGGTATTTTCTCCAGTCCCATTACGAGGACTCCGTACGTATTACCAGCGTACTCTCCACTACTCGTTTCGATTACGCAATGCAACCCGCGGAAATAACCTACCCAGCCTGCCCCGGACCATGGAACCGGCCTGCCTGCCTCACCACCTGATGATCCTTCATCGTGGTCGGCGGTGGGTCGTGGGTCTCGGGACAATTCGGGGGGGTGGTCCACCCACCCATGATCGACAGTGTAGTCATCATGGAGATTGACCGAGAGTCCTACGGAGTATTGTACACAACATCCGGGGGCTCCGTGACCTGGTTTCATATCGATTCGATGATACGTACTTCACTCAACGTCGGCAACCCCGTGGAATATGGGATCACCGGGCAAACACTCAGGAGCCGAAGGTCAAATAGTAGAATAGAATAGTAATAGGTATTCAGCAAGATCTCAACAGCATGGTGTCCTCCGAGCGATCCCAGAACCAGCAACGTACTCCGTAACCCATGACTTCCTCCCATTAACTGGAAACAACAAGGATATGCGCAGAATCTCACAAAAAGCGACAGACGAAAAAAAGATATCAGATAACCGCCCCAGACCGTGCCACCCAAACCGACCCATGGCTCATAAGGTATTAACGCGACACGCAAAATCAGAAAGAATCGAAGAGGAACCCCCATACGCAAAGTGTGCGTGCGTGCGACAACCGGCTGAAAGCAAATTTTAGGTGCGTCGTGTCATCGTAGGAAGAACAATTTAAGCGCAAGATAAGAAGAAGAAAAAAAAAAAAAAAACAGGCCACCGAGATCTCCTCTAAGAGCAGTGTTCCATCCGGGTAATCATCCATAGAGTATATCAGAGTCTATGCCCAACTTGCCGCCCTTCCGGAGAAATTAAAAGCAAAGAGAAACAAAAAAACAAGGGGAAAAGAGAAGGAAAGTGTGAATCTCCGCTTAGACTTGAGGCTGCGCGGGAGCTGCAGTCGTCCACGTCGACACCGGGTAGCCGGCGTGGGCCGCTGGCGCGGTAGCCCCGACATAATATGGCTGTCTATCGGCCGCAGTGTAGTAAGGCGCAATCGGGTTGGATTCCCGGCGCGGGATGCTGGGATCAAAGGCAGCCACCCCCCGCTGCTCCAACGCTTGGTGCGAGGTGCCATCCAGACCCGCGAGGCTGAAGCTGCTCCCCCGAGAGAAGGTCGCCGGCGTCGTGGGGTCCATCGGAGACGTCGCATCGGTGGCGACGCTGCGGGAGGAGATCGACGAATTCCGGTATGTGCTTTGATCGGAGTGGGACCGGTTTCGCTCGCTCAAAGAGCTCGGAATCGTTGTCCCCAGGGCCGACTGCATCGACGACGAAATGGCACTCTGGCCCAGCGCATCGAAGCTCGTACCATACTGAGGGGGCGCCCGGAAATGCGGGTGATCGTCGGGTTTCTGAGGGATCTGCGTCGGTGCGGATGGGGTTGGGAGATAGGCGGGTTGTGCAGAGATCGACCCGGGCATGGAGTAGCCGGGGATCGGGCCAGACGGCGGCGCATGGGTTGCGGCGTAGGGGGCGGCATGCATGTAGAAATCGGGGTGAGCGCTCGGAATGCCGTAAGGAGCGACCAGCTGGGGCCGATAGCCATACATGGCGTGGGGTCGGATCGTTCAGGCCCTCCAACGGCCCGGTCTCCCAGATCGTCAATCGGAGCACGGAAGCTTTGCTTCTGAGTCAGTTCAGCGCGGGGCCGGATGTAGCGCAGATGGTCGACCATCGACGGAGGGGTTAGATGACCCCGCACCACATCTTCGACGCTGTAGTACGACACGAGATGGTGTGTGACCCCCGAGACCGTCACACTCATCGTCTTCTTGACCAACCCCGAGTCCTTGAAGCCGTACGAATCCACCAGCGAGCCAACCAGGGCCCTTTCCATGTCCGACTGGTGCGGTCGATCCCCAAAGGCCGACGTGGTCGAAGGCGAGAAGCCCTGGGCCCCGGCGCTGTCATGTCGCGGATACGGCTCGCCTGGCCGCGTCGATGGCACGGGGCGACGGTTGGCCTTCTTCATCGCCCGTTTCTTCTCGCCGGGAGGGAAGGGCTTCTCGAGCTCCCGGTAGACGAGGAAATTGCCCAGGATGCGACTGGGACTCCAGGTGACGCCGTCCGTCCAGCGCTTGATCCCGGACGAGTTCTCTTCGTAGATGAAGACACTGCCACTGCGCACCAGATGACCGCGTTCGCGATCGTGGGGTCGGCGGGGCACATGGTGTAGAACGCCGGTGAGACAGGCCTCGAACAGGATCAAGGCATCCTGGGTAGTCGCGACGTACCCGGTGAAGGTAGGCTCCAACACCGTGGTGGTGCCGTTCACCATGGTGGTTGATCTGCAGCAGTGTCGTGTGTATACTTCTGTGTAGGTTGGGGTGAACCTAGTCGAAAGGGGTCAGAGGCAAACGGGATCAGAGTTAAAGGCACGCTGTATCAGAGTTTCGAGTAACTGAGTAACTCGAGCGGGAGTGCGCTTGTTCCTAAACCTAAGGATGGTAGGAGCAGAGAAGAGCCGTAGCGGCTGGGGAGAGCACAGGTGGGATGCTGATTGAGGGTCGAGGAGAGAAGATGGGAGCCGTTGTGTGGGAGAGACGAGGCAAATAACCAGGTTTCTCGGTTGAAGAGGAG